GGGAGAGCCGTTGGAATGTGGCGACTCAGATAATGACTGGGGCTAAGCTACATCAGAAAACTGTGATAAAGATCCATTGTGTCTCCGTGTCTCAGATACCTGGATTCTTGTCACCTGATGTAGAAACCGCAGGTCCTGTGGCAGGTCTAATCCCCTCCTGGTGCTGGACAAAGCGTGGTAATCAGTAAGGGGATTTGATTTATCATTTCTCTTTGATGTATTTCTCCAGGTAGCCTTGCAATTCTCCCTGAAGTCCTAGGGCTTGCAGTAAGGAGGAGGTCTTCTGGTAAGAAGAAAACTCGTAATTTCAGCATTCACCTCCTTTGCTTTATCTTCCCCTTGAGGTTACTAAGAAGATTATGGAGAAAAACCATAGGCTGGGGCAATGCCTTCTGAAAGCTAGTGTCACATTTTATTCCAGTTCATATGATGCATTCAACAGCCTCATCTAGTCTGAGTTTAAAATTGAGCCATGGGTGAGAACTCACTAGTTAGCCAAGGACCATGAAGTTAGACAAGAGACAATGCTAGCAAGAGAGTTCAGTTAAGATCTTATCATCCTTCTTAAGCATGGGGATACCCATGAATTATGCTTTAGGGCTTCAGTTGTGTTTCAGTGGTTGCTTAGGTGGTACTGACAAAGGCCAGCTTTGGTGTAGTGGAGGTTGTATTTCTGGAGTTCCCCTGTAGTCACTGATGGGAGAAGGGTTTTATCTCTTGACCATTTTTGAAAGCCCAGCCTCAGGTGCTCTGAGCTGGTGGAGCTTTGCTTCTCCTTAACCGTAGCTCTTGTACCTTGATAACCTGAGATCTTCCTCACAGTAGTCCTGATGGGCATCTGTCTGGATGTCACTAAATGAAGGAAACAAGATTTCTTCATCATTCTACTTAAGATGGGGCTGGCACATACATTTGAGGTGTAACCACCTGAGTCACATTGCATCTGCTTCTGGAATACATTGCTGTACAGCTTAAATTTGGATTTTTATCCACTTGTCTTCCTTATAACATAGATACACAGAATGGCTGAGGTGGGAAGGGACCACTGGGGTCATCTAGCCCAACCTGTCTGTTCAAGAAGGGTCACCTATAACAGCACATTGCTCAGGATTGCTCTCAGAGGGCTCTTGAATATCTCCAGGGGAGGAGGCTCCCCAGCCTCTCTGGACAACCTATTCCAGTGCTCAGTCACCCTCACAGTCAAGCTCTTTCTCATGTTCAGGTGGAACTCCCTGTGTTTTAGTTCACGCCTGTTGCCTCTCATCCTATCACGTGGCACCACTGAGAAGAGTCTTGCCTCATCCTCTTGACACACTCTGATCAGATACTCTCATACATTGATCAGATTCCCCCTATAGCCTTCTCTTCTCCAGGATGACCAGGCTCCTCCAGCCTTTCGTCACAGGAGAGATGCTCCATACCCTTCACCATTCTAGGACCCTTTTGCTGGACTTGTTCCAGGAGCTCCATGTGTCTCTCATACTGGGAAGCCCAGAACTGGACACAGAGGATTAGCTTACGGAATATTGCCATATAAAAGTGCATCTCCTCTTGTATTGTGATAAAAGCTTTTTGATCCGTTGATTGTCATGTCCACTAGCAAGACCAAAAGCAATTCTAAAGAAGCCTCTGTGTGTTTGGTGTATGGACGTCATTGTTAAATATATAGTGTATGAATATACAGAGCAAGGCTGTGATTCTAATCCCGTGTAAGCAAACACATGACAACTGTCAGGGAAGATGAGAGGTGCAAAACATGACAACTACTTGCTGTTAGCAGTGTATCCGAAAGGGAGCCTGAGTCCTGGTTCTTCCTAAGCACGTGCTTGGCTTTGGGTCTGCTGTTCAGTTCCCCTTAGGTCAATAGAGCCCACGTGTGCACTCATATTTAAGCATTAATTTAAGCTTAAGCGTTTAAACAATGAAGCAGTGGGCACAGCTGAAGACACTGTTGAGTTGAGCTCTGTTATGCGAGTGAGAAAATGCAGAGTTCTTCATGCACTAAAGAAAGAAAGGAAAAACCCCACCACTTCATCAAATGGGGAAAAACGGATTTTTTTCCTTTGACTTGGCTCAGATCTTGGCTCCTTCAGAGACTGGTATGCAGCATATGATAAATGCTTTATAAATATGTTTTACATTATATGATATGTTTTCATCTGGGCACAAACTGACCGTAAATCAGGCTGAAATACAGCCCAGTATTGAAAGCCAGGGCAAGTGTTTAAGTGCAATGTTAGTGCATAGTTTTCAAGGGGATAGACATATGGTGAGGCTGGATCACTAAATACCTGGATTGCTGCTGAAACAGAGCAGTTTAAGAACAGAAGTCCCTTAAATACCTGAAAAGGGACAACTGATTTCTGCATATTAGGCTTTCAAAATTCTGGATTTCCACTCTATTCTTCTAGCTATTATTATGAGACAACGATTTTTGATTAAATTATCAGCTTCTGTATCACCTAAGATTTGCATTGGCTCTATGTTCCACCCAGACAAAACTTTGTGGATTCTCAACCTGTTTGGAAAGCTCTACCAGAGCTCTGCAAGAAAGGTAAAAGACAGTTTTCCAGTGGGAACATAACCTGAACATGTTACCTAGCAAAAGTAATTCCTCTTGCATTTGATGTATTTGGTTTCTTTCCATTTCCACAGTCAGAACATTATTGTGTTGTTTCATTCTGTTTTTCCTTAGCTCTACAAATCAGGTATTGTCAAAGGCGTGCTTTAGTGATGTTCCTATGGAGCTCCCCACATCATGCAAACAGAGAAGCTCAGGTAGTGAGAATGGGGATACAGAAATGCAGATCCAGCTATTCCTAGTTTGAATGGTTCCCTCGCAAAGGGCTGGCACAAGATTCAATGTGTTATTCCTTCTTCTTGGCCCTTATTTCTATCATCATATTCATGTAACAGTACATTATTATTACGTTGTCACTGGCATTGGATGCTTCCCATTGCGTTTGTAAATGGCATGCCAGGATTTTGTCAGCTGGACCTACACCATTGAGGCAGGCAGTTTCTGTTTCTGCTCGGACTGACAGAATTCCTCTTGGATTAAGCATTGTGACATGACTTCAGCATTTGGATGCACACTAAAAGACAGGAGTGGATGGAAGCATGGCACTGCTAGCCTTTTTCTGGATAGTCTTCCTTGCCAAGAATGGGGAGCTGAAATTTTTTATGGGCTGACACAGTTCTGTACCTGCAGCTGAAGTAAGTGATTGTGCCCCTGTGCTGGGCACTGGTGAGGCTGCACCTTGAGTCCTGTGTTCAGTTCTGTGCCTCTCACTACAAGAGAGGTGCTGGAGTGGGGCCAGAGAAGAGCAATGGAGCTGGTGCAGGGCCTGGAGCACAGGTATGATGGGGAAGGGCTGAGGGACTGGGGGGTTTTAGTCTGGAGAAGAGAAGGCTCATGGGGGACCTTATTGCTCTCTACAACTGGAGGGGGCTGGGCTCTGCTCCCAAGGAACAAGGAATGGGACAAGAGGAAATGGCCTCAAGCTGCACCAGGGGAGGTTTAGATGGAGATGAGGAACAATTCGTTCCCCAAAGGGTGCTCAGGCATTGGAACAGGCTGCCCAGGGTAGTGATGGAGTCACTGTCCCTGGAAGTGTTCACACACTGCGTAGATGAGGCTCTCAGTGCCATGGGTTAGTGGTGGCCTTGGCAGTGCTGGGGGAATGGCTGGACTTGGTGATCGTTTCCAACCTCATTGATTCTACAACCCTATGAGTGAGTTGCATTGCAGAGTCCTGTTAGGTGGAGTTTCGTTCATGCCATCCAGCTGCTTCGCTTCCCTCCTCCTTCTGGAGGAGGATGAATCCCTCATTGTCCCTGTGCTTCAGCCCATGTTCCCTTTAATGCTGTCAAATACATCATCCAGTGCTCGGGTAATTAATTGAAAAGGCTCATCACTTTCTTGCTTCAAAAGGCAGAGAATTTGTCTCAGCAGTGCTAATGGGATCATGTGGCATTTGTACCCTTTGCTTTATCACAGCATATTGACTTTCTGCCTAAATCAGATTAATTTTATCCATATTGATTGCACAATTATAACCCCCTATTAAAATCTTTTCATTAATAGTTATGTCTCCCTGCTAATAGGGAGTAAATGCTCTGTTGTTCTCACTCCGGGCTCTAATGAGCATATTGATCACGGAATCCCAGACTGGTTCGGGTTGGAAGGGACCTTAAAGCTCATCCAGTTCCAACCCCCTGGCACAGGCAGGGACACCTTCCACTTGAGCAGGTTGCTCCAAGCCCTGTCCAACCTGGCCTTGAACACTGCGAGGGATGGGGCATTCACAACTTCTTCAGTCCTTTCAGTTTGCTCATACAGTAAAGGCTGAAGTTATTGATAAATGACTTTTTATTTGATGCTGATCACTGCACTGCTTACAGTTAGGAATGGAAAACGTTTACTTCTTCATAACCCTGGGTGTACTCTCATGAAGAAGAGAGGATTTGCACTACCCTAACTCCCAAGGCAGGGCTGGCGACCCCAGGGCAGGGCTGGTGGTCCCAAGGAAGGGCTGGTGGCACCAGCCAAGCGGTGGGAGGCAGATCGGTCTCCTCCAACGTCTCCTTCTGCACCCCAGCTTTGCGACATCCCTCCTTCTCCCTCCAGACGCTGGGCCTCAAGGGTCGGCGTTGCTGGTGAGAATGGAACCAGGGTGGGAGACCGGGTCCAAGCGGCAGTCGCAGGGCTGTTGTATGGGAGAGGGGGATGTCCGCTAAGGGAGGACGGGCGGAGGACAGGAGGTCCGCGAGTTCAGGTGCCGGATGGAGAGCATCGCGTTCCCCGGCGGGGCCGGCGGGCGGCTGCGCCGGGTCCGGCGGCGTGTGCCACCCGCAGCCGGCAGGGGGCGCCGGCGGAGCGGGGCGGACGGGGCGCGTAGTCCCCGCGCGTCGCGGCTCGGGGCGCAGCGGAGCGGGGCCGGGCCGAGCGGAGCCGAGCGGAGCCGCGGGGCGGGCACAAAAGCGCCGCGCCCGGCAGCCCCGCCTGGGAGTCGGCGCTCTGCTGGCCGGGGCTCAGCGCTCAGCGGCGCCGGGACGGGCGGCTGCCGCCCCTGGGGCTCGCAGGATGCCGGCGGCTGCGCGGCGGCGCGGGGCGCGGGTGCTATGGGCGCTGCTGTGGGTGTCCCTAGCGCGCTGCTACAACGTGGACCTGGGTCGCCCCGTGGTTTTCCAGGGCCCCAATGGCTCCTTCTTCGGGTACTCGGTGCTGCAGCACTACCACGACAGCACGCGGTGGTGAGTACCGCGGTCCCCCGCGGCAGCGCATCTCCTTCAGCGCGGGAAGCGGGACCGGGCACGGCTGCTCCCGTGGCTCCGAGCCCGTCGTGTGCGGGGGGACTCGCCCCGGTGTCACCCGGATCCCTCTCGATCCCCCCCCCCCCCCCGGTGGGGGCCCCTTCCCGGGCACCGTGAGCTCGCTGTCCCGGGCGGTGGTGGTATCCTTGCGGGAAGCATGTAGTAGCTGATCCCCGTGACGGAAAACGCGTGGGGTGTGAAGGAGGGTGGGTCTTGCCGTGTTAAACGGGAGGAATTGACCTCCAGGGAGGAAACCCCGATGGCTGGAAGGACGTTCCCGAATCAGACGGCGTTTGCCTCCTCCGAGTGCCCGCTGTTGGCGTGGGGGGGGCCGCAGAGGAAACGTCTGTGTAACTTACAAAGGGCCAAGAATGAACGATGATAGAAAGTTTGTCTACATCTCAAAAAATTATGCAAACTGGCAAGCTGCTTGTTTTTCCCGTTCAGTGAAAAGAGCCTTGGAACGCAGTCCGTCTCTCTCTTGTCTAGGTCAGAGGCTCTTTGTTAGCATTAAAACTGATTTCTCTTAACTGGACCTAGTCGATGTCATCTGGTGCACTTTGAATATGAGCAGGAGCCGCTGCTGCCAATAAACGTCCACAAAGCCTGGCTTTATCTTTAACGCTGAGATACGGCCCCATCCCTCAGCTATTGATGTTGGAACTGTGGAGCACTGTGATATAAATAAATGTATTCATGCTGGCGTCCAGTTCTTTAAAAATGAATTTCTTTCACACCCTTTAGTTCGAGCAGTTGTATGCTCTGCCTAGCTCCATGGTGGCTTTCATGGAGCATTCATTTTTAAGGACTTATCAGAAGACTTCATAGAGGAAAGGCGCTTTGGGAGAAGAAAAGCTCTCAGTTAAAGCAATGCTTAACTTGGGGCAGGAACCAACGAAGGATGCAGAGGCTGAAAGTGACTTGTGTTCCACACAGACTGCTGGGGATGCACAGCTGTGCAAATGAGATGCTGGTCTAGTGCTAGGGTGGAACTGGAATGATTTGTTGCTCCTTGTGAAGGTGTCTGTCATGCTGATCGATAGCAGGAATTATCTGCAGATAGCAGCTGGGATTTTAATTTTGGAAGGGGAGGTGAACTAGGGAGGGGAGTCTCCCAGGTATCCCACTTTGTTTGGCAGTGACACTGGAATAGCAGTGTTGGGCATCCATCTGAAGGCAGGCATCTGGTGTTTGGAAGTAAAAATGCCAGTTCTGCAAACTTCAGTTTTGTGAAAATGGAGCTTCTGCATGGAAGAATGGAGCCCTGGCTCTCGGCACCCAGGAATAAACAAGTATCTAAGATCATGAAGTGGTTCTGAATAAAAGAGTTGCTAGCCCTATTGCCTGAAAGGGTTAACAGGTCTTAAGATGGTCGGCATCGTCATTGTCCAAAATCATGAGGGCTTGATTGTCATCACTGCTGATGGAGAAGCTCCTCTTCTCATGGTGGGGCTGTGGAGTTTGTTTTCATGGGTGCTTTAAAATCCTGTGCCCAGCAGAGGCTGGGATAAGTCTGGGTGATGTTTTTTATACTGTCCTTGATTCCAGTTTCCTTTCCACAGCTGTGATCTTAATGTGCACATGCCTCTTAGACTAGAGGTCAAGGATGATATAGTACTGTTTTAAACCATATTTATACTGTACAGAATCTTATACATCCCTTTGGAGCATCAAATCTCTGATTTCAAGTTTAAACTGGTTACTACTTTCAGGGTATTGAAATACAAGATACAATCCCAGTTTATTGGATGAGTTCAGTGGGAAATGCTCAGTAAAATTCATGCCATTTTTCAGATTTGACAGGTTTTTGTGTGTTGAAGCTTTTGTGTGCAAAGATGTAGCTATAGAGCTATTTCCTTAACTGGCTTGTAGTGGGTAATTTGTATTCTGTGTCCTCCCGTTCTCTTGTAAATGTGATATTCCGGGGAAAGGCTGAAGTCTGTTATGTATGTAGTAAAAATGTTTTCTATTCAACCCATTGTAGCATACACCTCCTGATAGTAGTCGTAGAGTTTTTGCCTGGGTTTGTGTGCCTGTTTTCTTCTTCCCTTTGTAGCTTTTATATACCCAAAGAAGAGTTCTGATTTCAGTTTTCCCAAGTCTATTTGGCCGATATCCCACAATGGGCAGTAGTTCAGCTAAGTTAACTTCAGACAGCGATATTTTGGGCACTCATAGCTTGCGCGGTGAGCTGTGCACTATGTGAGCCTGCAAAAATGTGGTTGATCGTATCTGAGGCTGATAGGGCTCCTGCCTATCTAATGTTATTTAATGTATTAATACGTTCTCAAGCATTTCAGGGTGTTGTCATGATAGTTCAAGGGCTTCTTGCTCTTTATTCCCTGAGGGCCTGATAGACACCTAATGGACTTCTGATCATGAGAGTGTGTTATTCCCAGTAGCTTGTCCATGTGCTGGTGTGTGTCTACATATCAGTGTGTCTGTATATATAGACACTGATTTATATTAAAATGGTATCTGTATGACCAGGTTCTTCAGTGTTTCAGCTGTTTTCCAACACCACAAAGGCACCTGTCTATATTACCTACATCGGCCTGCAGGCTTCCAGTAACCGATTCAGGGCTTGGCGATTCCCGAGGATTTATATAAGCCAAGTGTTGTTGCAGGAGGAAAGAAAGGGGGAAGGAGAAATATTTGGCTTGAAATATTACCCCAGATAAATGTGTATAGTTAGGCTGCCACACAGCCATTGACACAGAAATTATATTGGAGCATGGGTGTTCAACCTCCACTATGCTGGAGTAAATCAGTGCCTTTGAATTGTCTGAAATAGTTAATTGTGGCAATGCTCCCATTTAGGAGTTGTTTTTGCACACTTCTCGTTTCAAGGAAAGTTTGTCACCACAGATGTGCTGAGGTTATTGTACTTCTGACAATGTCTCCTTTTCCTTCCTTAAGCGGGTTTTATGGCTGTAAATCCTGAAAGGTTTACCCAGTTCCCCGTCATTGCCTTTTTCAGCTGAGTAAGGAACCAGGTGGCTGCTTGCATTTGGAGCAGAGACAAGTTGAAGTGCTTCTGTTTTCTGGATGTAATTTTGAAGCCTGGAGTAAAGACTCAAGTAACAAGCAAGAAACCACCCCAGACAGCTTAAAAAGAAACAAATGTCAATTTTTGCCCCATTAAAAAACGTTAATAATGTGACATTTCTTACAGTTCTCTTTTGAAAGGCTACTTTTATCTCTCTCCTTTCTTCTCTGTATGCCTCCTTCTAGCTGACACCCCCAAATCCCTCAGCAAGTCCAGGGTAACAATTTTATCCTTTCTGGCAACATGATCTGGCACGACAAAGCAGTGGAGTCAGTTTAGTTGCACGGTGTCCTGCTGTGAGTTTTACAATAAGGAATGAGTCTGGTTTCTGTGCTGTTGCTTCATTCCTTCTGCCCTGCTCTTCACTGGATTGCACTGCTGCTGAAATAACGAAGGCTGTTCTGCATCTCAGGCTGACCAATATGTGTTGTTAGCGCATAGAATCACAGAACAGTTTGTGTTGAAAGGGACCTTAAAGCTCATCCAGCTCCAACCCCCTGCCACGGGGGCAACCTTCCATTAGAGCAGGTTGCTCCAAGCCCCTGTGTCCAACCTGGCCTTGAACACTGCCAGGGATGGGGCAGCCACAGCTTCTCTGGGCACCCTGTGCCAGCGCCTCAGCACCCTCACACGGAAGAACTTCTGCCTAAGAGCTCATCTCAATCTCCTCTCTGTCAGGTTAAAGCCATTCCCCTTGTCCTGTCCCTGCAGGCCCTTTTCAAAAGTCCCTCTCACGATTTCTTGTACCCCCCTTTAGCGTGATTGTACTCTGTATGCAGTCAGAAGGAAGGTGCAGGAACAGGCTGACACTGTGGAGGGTGGGTGTTGCATTAACGATGCTGTGTTGCACGAATGATGTAGTGATGCTTTAGATGCCGCTGTGGTGTTTTGGTGAGCTGGGGCTTGATCTTGTTGGTCACAGGTCATCCATCTGCCATCCAGATAACATCCCTCCTGCTTTTGCTCTGCACGTAATGGATGAATCACTGGGTTTTTTGTTTCAAGGGCTTAGCCAGTGACAGAGACCTCTCTGAAGGGAATAAACTCAGCTGGGCCATGCTGGTGGTGGTGCACCCTCCGCTGGTGCTGCTTCTGAAATCAGCTGCGGTATGTGAGAATATTTAAAGACTTACTTCTCTGCTACTTAACATTACGGTGAGGTGAGGTACCTACACTCCCCAGTCCTTGAGCTCTGATTGCCTAATCGCTGCTGGCATGCTGGAGGCTGATGCTTAATGTGCTTGGCATCTCTCCATGCCATCGGTCAGCTCGACACTTCCCTTCACTGTTCCTTCTGCTAAATGCAGCACTTAATTTCCAAATCTGTATGTCCCAAGGGTCAATCACCAGCAAAGTGATAGCCACTGCTCTGCAGGAAATAATTTTCAGGAGGTGTGGATTCCCCTGTGGCTAGGAAAGCTTCTTCTCAGCCTTTAATGTTGGCTGCTGCTGAAATGTGATGGTTTCTAGCTGCAGAGCTGTGTAGTTGTCTCTGTACAGATGAGGGCTTTTGTCCTTGAGTGCATGAGTTTAAATGCAAGAAGAGAAGTTAAATGGCCTCTGCCTACTGCTTCTCATGTTGGTTTAGACCTTAGTACTTCGTCATGCCAGACAGAACAGATCTCCAAATGTTTCACTTGCTGGGATCTAGGTGCAAGAATGAAAGCATGAGACAAGATCCTAAGGTGACAAAGTGTGTGATGTAGGTGAAATACCAAAGTTGAATGTATGGACATTCAGGACAATTCAAAATAAGTCTGCTTTTGGCACACAACACCAGTTGCCTTTACTGGCTGATTCCTTCTGCTCAATCCACATGCAGACGTTTTCTTTCCAAAAGGCGTATTTGCTCAAGGCAGCAATATTGCCTTTGCCAGGAGCCTACTCAAGTCATTCATAATCAATTTTTCCCATTCAGCTGTTTAAAGAGACCTGACGAGTCTTTGTAATGTAGGCTCCTTCATCTCCATCTTGCATTCTGCAACCCAAGGTATCATGTGCACTAATTGCTGAATCATATTTACTTTTCTTAGGTTAGGGCAAAGCTTCTTTTAAACTGGAGGTCAGTGCCGCCTACATTATCTTATTGTTCTAACAGGTCATAGAAACAGTTTCTTGCCATTTGCAATTTAAACCTGCAACTCTTTAAGCTAGTAATATCCCCCCTTATTTATTTTTGTTAGACCTCATGAATGTCAATAAGTGAATGACATGCATTCATTGCCTGTGTAAATGAAATGATTGGCATTTGATTTTCTGCCCGCCGCCTGCCTGGTGGGATTTCCATTTGGAGCTATTATTTCAGGCTCCTTTGCACTCACTCCCAAATGTGTGCAGGCTTTGTAGTTTTTAGCAATTTAAGTATTTCAGACATTAATTCTTCGCAGTTGTGCAAACACGTGTGTTGTAGAGTGCAGCCCCATCTAACTTTTTGAAATGATACAGGTTAGCACGTGAAATGTTGGAGAAAATGATCATTTAATGTAGGGCTTTCCTCTTCTTTTTGTGAATACATTTCCAAGTGCCACGGGACAGTTTCCAGGGAGTGGAGATGTGCTGCTGTTTGGTGTAGACCAGACTCTGATGCAGGCAGGAGCAGCTCTTCCAGGTAGCTGAGGTTGACCCTGTATAGGTGCATGCCTTGTGCCGTGGGTCTCCCTGTGTGTGCTGGGATGGTGATGATGGGTGGTGGTTGGGGATGGAACTTTAAATTGGAGGATGAAGGGAAAATTGTTGAAAACAGGGAAAGCTTCCACTCTGGTGCTGGTGCTGGGCTGCCCATCTGTGCTGTGGGTGGGCTGTGTATGAGGGCTGACTGCACCAGTAGCTCTTTACCCCTTTAGTGGCTAAAGCAAGAGCAGCATCTCCTTGAGCTGCTGCTGCCTCCCAAGTAGCAGCCTGGATCCACACATGTGAGTGCCGGAGGCTTAGCCCTTTAGAGATGGTTGCCTTTACTTGCAGCCCTGGGCTTAACTTCAGCAAGGATGTTGTTACCTGCAGAAACTCTGCCCTGCCCTCACAGTGTGAGAGCATCAGCAGAACTGACACTAAACAACCTGGTGCTCTGCACCATCCTCCCTGGAGTGCATTCCTTCTACTTCACCTCTGTCCTCATCCTTGTATGCCCAGATCCTGCCTCACAACCAGGTGGGAAAGATTGTCCCTTTAATGAGGAGGCATAATAAGGGCTCCCTTAATACTTGTGCTTCCCCTGTAATCCTCCTCAAAAGCCATCCCTTAGGGCACAAGCAGCGGCCAACTTGCTAAACAGTTAACTGGATCATAATGCAAGTGATTAAGAAGTGTTCGTCCTCTTTAAAGGGTACCTTAAGGAACCCTATGGTCAGAGCCGTGTGTTGGTTCTTCACAGAGACACTAGCTCTCATGTGGGATAAACAGCCTTCATAGTCTTAATGGTAAACGTTGGTTGATAGCAGTGCATCATGGAAGAGGTTTGCTCCTGTGTTGCTGGTTGGGTTTTTTGCTGTTGTTCTTTAAAGTTGTGATTACATGAAATGTTCTGAGCATGGGGTGCCTCAACTTCCTAAGCAAGCTTATAAATCTTTGGCTGGGTGGCAAGCATGCAGGTTCAGATTCCATCCTCTCATGGGTGTGTGTATTGTGTTAGCTCTTGGGCTGATAGGGATGTAACTAAAACTTAGGAAAAATAGGCGCAGCTGCTGTTGTCCATTCTAATACCTTCCTAAATGCTTTCAGGGGGCAGGGTATGTGTGTGGGGGTTACTTTAAATGTGTTATAATCCTAATGGAAATTTAGCTTGTTAAAGTATTTGTGGCTTCACAGGGGGAAAATGCCTTTATTGTGCGTGGTGTTTTCAGTTTGAATCAATGTCATCGTTTCACAAGGCTGCTGAGAAAAGTCCTTTTGCTGGGGAAGCTCTGGCAGTGTGAACCTTGCTGTTGGTTGTTTGCTCCTTTCTGTCTCTTCTCCTGAAATTAATTGCTTGTTACTTTGCTTTTGGTTTCCAGGGTCTTGGTTGGTGCTCCCAAGGCAGAATCTAAATACAGCACCTCTGTTCAGTCCCCAGGAGCAGTGTTTAAATGTCGAGTCCATACCAACCCTGACAGGAGATGCACCGAGCTGGATATGGGGCGAGGTGGGTAATTATGATGCTTGGGGAAGGGAGAAAGGGAGAACCAAAAAACCACCAATCCAAATGGCTCGCAACTGAAGAGGCTCCAAGACATTGAGAGGGTTTTGCCAGCCTCTCCTGATGGATTTTAAGCGCTGGTAGTAAAGGTGTCATACTCCCTTCAGCATTATGGAATAGCATCCCACAGGGTGCTGGTGTCCTCTCAGTGGCCCTGTTTGCTCTCTCCAGTGAGTAACCAGGCAAAGGTGGGGTTTTCCCTTCTTACCCTGAGCTGCTGTCTATTCTCTACCTGCTTCAGTGTGACTTTGCAGCGTGTTGGTGGGTGAGGGCTTGGAAGCGCTGCTGCCTGCTCCAGGCAGTGCTGAAATAAGGGTGTGTGGATGGCTCCACAAGGTGTTATGGTGGTCTTGTAACATGAGCTGTAAGCGGCAATGTGGAGATCAGTGGGTTCCCTCGTCATGCAGCACGTAATTCCTTGGGTTTGCTTTTTTTTTGTGCTACAGGAAATAAGTTTCTCAGCCAGAGCCATGCTTGTAGACTGTTGTGCAGGATTAGGACTTACTTTGGTTTTCCCTCATGTACTGTCTTGAGTTGGGGGAAGGTGGAGTCCTGAAGTAAAACTCTGATCTTATGCTTGATTCTGATGGAGGAAATTGAAGCCTTTTAATATTTTGTTTCTCATGGTGAGGTGTGGTGTTGCTTTCTCTGCCTATAGAAAAGGCATGTTAGTATTGTTCATCTTTCCATGACTGAGTCAAGTAGGGTTTATTTTTATGGAGCTTAGGTGTGTTAAAGGTGTGCTTTGGCTAAGTTTGATTTGCCCAGCTACTGTAATGTAAACTGTCTGCCATGGACTCATGAATACTGCATGATGGGATTTCAGATTTAGGTTTCAGTTGTCTTCTTTTAAAGTTCCCAGATCTCTTTTTTTCAAGAGAAATTTGCTTTGATTGCATTCTGCAGGCAATTCCACGTCTCTCCCATTGAATTCAGTTGGAAGGTTTATTCAAGTAGTGTGTGGACATGCTGTGATAGCTACTTACTGTTCGGAACAGGGTTTGTCCTCCACTGTGTACTTGTACAGTGCCTAGTAAGAGTATTGTCACGATTAATGTGTACAGGAGCTAATAATCAGGCTGAAAGGGAAAAGAAATGCACTGTGAGGTGGATGTTTCATGGGCAGTCCCTTTTCTTGTAGGGATTCTTTGGTGGGTATTTAAAACTCATGTCTCTGCCTTGCTGCCTTTCCCCTCTTTCTGTAGGCAACTCTCGGGGCATGCTCTGTGGCAAGACCTGCAAAGAAGACAGAGATGATGAATGGATGGGTGTGAGCCTGGCTAGACAGCCGAAGGCTGGTGGAAGCGTGCTGGTAAGTCCATTCTTTCCTTTGATCTCATTAAAACTGCTGCTGCTGTCTGACTCTTATGCTAAACACATCAGGATTAATGTGCTCGGCAGTGACTGAAAGAGTCCAGCTTTACAGGCAGCAAGTTCTGTACTCTTCCTTAAAGCGGAAGGAAAAGTGAGCCCTAGCCAGGAAGCTTTATTTATAGAGGGAGGACTTCAAAGCTGTCACACCTGACTTGTGTCACCCAGGGGCTTCCTCCTAAATCTGAGGGATTAAATCTTTGAACCGAATAAAAAGAACTTTGTCTGGGAGGTACCTGTTTCTCTGAGTTTATGTCTGGAACATGTATGCATCCTCTTTCCCCGAGTGCAGGCATTGCGTGTCAGAACTCACACTGAAAAATGTAAGATGAGTCTTTGTGGTGATATTTTTCCTTTATGTATATCAATTTTCCATTAACGATGCATTAGAGCTGTGAGTAGAGATGACTTGATTGCATGTGGGTGGCCTTGTTGTCTTTGATACGGTTGCCATGCGCATAGACAGGTCAAGGAGAGCAGATGTGATTCTTACGATGTGGAATTTATCTTTGCAAAACATTTCCTGTGCTGGAAAAAGATAATCATAAGGAGAGCTGAGCAAAAACCTTTCCGAAATACATGGCTATTTTGTGATCGATAGTTGTCTGCATTTACAACCACAATTGGATTCTGACTGTCTCCTGAGTGAACCTGTCTGCAGGAATGTTAACTGAAATCTAAGCATATTGCAGTGAAATACTGTGCACAGTACGTGTGGCAGGCAAATTTCAGGCTAGTATCCCACTCTGACAACAATCTAACTCTAAACACTGCTGTTTGAGAGTTGGAAACTTCCACTTTGACCTCATCTTTCCAATGGGGTAAGGGATCGCCCTGGTACGCAACATCAAACTGTCACAAAGCTGGTAGCGAAAAAGATCTTGTGCAATGATTGCTGTGTCAACGACCTATGTAAAGGCAAGTAGGTAAAGCTGCTTCATTCAAAGGCATTCTACTATGCACTCAAGAGTCCAAACACGCCCCAAGTCCTTGCACACCAACTTCCCCATGGGGAGCAGGTGGTTTTGATACTTCCCTGCAATAGTAAGTACTGTGGTATTATATCTGATCATCTCGTTTTGTGTACAGCTTGCCAGTGCTATAGGGGCCGGCTGATGCTCTGCTTTACGTGGCTGTTTTAAATGGGTGCAGTACCAACGGAGGAGGGGAAAGAGGGGCATAAATAAAATGTACTACAAACAGGTACAGCAGAGCAGAAAATTAAGGCATTCATGCTAGTGTGATTCATATTTTCAAGGGATATCCCGATCTATATGTTTACTCAGAGTAAACTTGGGCTTGTTCAGCCTGGGGAACAGAAGACTCCTTGAGGGGAGACCATAGAGCAGCTCCCAGTGCCTAAAAGGCCTACAAGCAACCTGGAGAGGGGCTTTGGACAAGGGCCTGTAGGGACAGGACACAGGACAAAGGGAATGGCTTTAACCTGACAGAGGGGAAATTGAGATGAGCTCTTAGGCAGAAGTTCTTCCCTGTGAGGGTGCTGAGGTGCTGGCACAGGGTGCCCAGAGAAGCTGTGGCTGCCCCATCCCTGGCAGTGTTCAAGGCCAGGTTGGACGGGGCTTGGAGCAACCTGCTCTAGTGGAAGGTGTCCCTGCTGGTGCAGGGGTTGGAGCTGGATGAACTTTAAGATCCCTTCCAAACCAGCCTGGGATTCTAAACCAGCCCTCTGACAAGATTATACTGCTCTCACCAAGTAGATCATGTCTGCATGCTTGAGGATGTTTAAATCTAATTCTTACTGCAATTTGTTGCCAAAGCGCTCTTAAACTACTGATTACACATCTGTGCACACCTGTGTGTTGACAGAGCTTGGAATGAAGGCATAAGGATTCCATCATGGATGGAAAATACCTGTTTGTTTCAGGGTGTTGTTACTGCCTGTTTTGAGATAATTTCTAAATGAAAAAGATTCATGACTTTCCCATAAGCATATTGTTTTTGTACACGTGCTCTTCTAATTTGAAAGATCAGGATTACTTTTAAATGCAGCTCTTCTTTGAAGCCCCTGTGAGAAACTGCTGTTCAGATGGGACATGTCTGAATGTGGGTTTGCAGCCATATCTGCTGAAATTTAGGTTTTTACTGAAGTTACCAGCAAACTCCCATGAGTGATTCCCTGTAGTTAGGAGAGAGTACATATATACCTATATATGTATAGTGTCAGGCATTACAGCTCTATTTTCTGCACCTCTTTCAGGGATTCCTTTAAGTCAGGGTGGTATTTTTGTGATCAGTAACCCTGGATGGGTTACAGTTAGTTGCCTTTAAACCCATGTGAAATACTCACATCCTGTGTTAGTTCCACAGTTTAACTGTGGATTGTACAAAGAAGTTGTTGCTTTTGCTTTGAAAACCCTTAGTGGCTGAAATTTCTGTCTTATCAGCCTTCCCTGTTGCCTTGTAAGAGACCCGGCTTCAGTGGAACGGGTGGTAGGGGAGGTGAGGAGGTGCAGAGGAGGCTTTAGCTGGTGTTCAGTTATAAATGGATTGCTTTTGAGCCCATGTTGGGTCAGGATGTTACTGAACTGGGGTTTTATGTTTGTGTGAGGGGCTGAACAGAAAAGCAATGAGGGTTTAAACAAACGAAGAAGTGAGATCAGCTGAAAGAAGTTCTGTGGCTTCCTGCCCCCGGGTATGCTGTCAGTCAATATTTGCATTAATCTAAGTGCTGTAATAGCAGAGCTGAGATTGCCAGCTCTTTCCAAACTGCAATGGCAAAAGTCCTCATTTTGATTTCTTGGGAGAGGAGCTGGGAACAGTGCATTGTGGTTTGGAGATCAGCCACATCCTTCAGTCTTGGTCTTCCTAAAGACCTGCCACATCTGTTATGACTGGTTTTACATCAGGTGTTGCTATTTTTCATTTTAAGCAGTTGATTGACTTAACTGCACATTTAGGGACTCTGTGTGTGTGTCTGTAGAAAAACCCATCACTGCAGCAAAGCCAAATGCCTCTTAGGGAAGAGCAAACCAGAAGTGGTCTGACTATGGCACATTCAAAAGTACCTTGTCTGGACAGGAGTCAGCAGAGGGCTCTATAAGGACCTTGCATTCAGGTGGGACACTCGGCCTCTGGAGTCAGGGTCTCTCATGTTGATTTTCCTGTGGTGCAAAGCCTGTGTTGGGTGTTAAAAGAGCAAAGCATCTGCAGTTCTGAAATTGCCTGTTCGTTATGTTGTGGTAATGCAATGTCTGCCATCGACAGAGACCTCCATGTGCTTTGCCCAGAAGTGGTTTATTTCATAGAACCATAGAAACTCAGACTGGTTTGGGTTGGAAGAGGCCTTAAAGCTCATGCAGCTCCACAGGGACACCTTCCACTAGAGCAGGTTGCTCCAATCCCCCATGTCCAACCTGGCCTCGAACACTGCCAGGGATGGGGCAGCCACAGCTTCTCTGGGCACCCTGTGCCAGCGCCTCAGCACCCTCACAGGAAGAACTTCTGCCTAAGAGCTCATCTCAATCTCCCCTCTGTCAGGTTAAAGCCATTCCCCTTGTCCTGTCCCTACACGCCCTTGTCCAAAGCCCCTCTCCAGGTTTCCTGTAGCCCCTTTAGGCACTGGAACTGCTCTAAGCTCTCCCCTTAAGGAGCCTTCTTTTCTCCAGACTGAACCAGCCCAGCTCTCTCAGCCTGGCTCCAGAGCAGAGCTGCTCCAGCCCTTGCAGCATCTCTGAACTCGCTCCAACAACTCCACTTCCCTCTTACGCTGCTGCCCCAGAGCTGGATGCAGAGCTGTAGCATGGGTCTCACCAGAGCAGAGGGGGAGAATCCCCTCCCTCAACCTGCTGCTCATGCTCTGAGGATGCAGCCAGTACATGGTTGGTTTCTGGGCTGCAAGCACACACTGCTGGCACATCCTCTTCAAGGGTTTGCATCCTTTCTCTCCTATGCCATGGTAGAGCCAGAGCCGGTGCCCTGGAAGCAGCTGCTGAGCACCAAAGTGTTCTGATGGCTTTGCCATTGCACAGGGGCTCCCCTGCATTAAAAAAAAAGGGTTTATAAACTGTTAATTGTTGGTAATCACCTTAGGGAGCGGAAAAAAACCCACAGAATAACCCTCTCCACAGCATCAAATTCAGGTGACTCATCTCTGTTCCCAAGAGCTCTCTGGGCATGTGCCATCCAAGAAGGAAGGCTGTGTCCACCTTTGGTAGCACATCACCTTGCCTCAGCAACATTGAATAATTCAGGGGCTGTGTACTGTAATCCAGCTAAATGTTATTGGGAAGGCAGAAGAACCGAAAGCAGCTGTGGAGGAGCCATGGCAGGGAGACAGATGTGCTGGCTGCAGAGAAAGGAGTTCTGTGTGGGGAAGAGGAGCTGCTGTAAATCCTCTCTATTGGGAAAATGTCAAATCCTGCAGCTGTGGCTTGGGAGAATCTGGGGAAGCCCCTCCTGAGGTAACAGAGGTGGAGCTCATCTCTCGGAGCTATGGTTATGAGCTGTCCACAGGCTCAGGCTGTCAGTGGTGAAATGCAGCATGCCTGAATATGCAGAATGCTGAAGGCTCAGGAAAGTGATCATTAACAAACCCCAAACAACCCCAAAACCAAACCCCAGCAGATTAGGTGTGCCCAGAATTGCTGTATTGAGCCCGCAGCCCCCAGCTGACTGTGAATGTACTTCCTATGCAGCAGCTTCTTTTTCTCTCCTTATGTTCTATCTCCCTTGGCCTCTGCACCTCACTCCTGCGCAAAGCCTCCTGCTTGTGATGAATTGCTGCTGCTGCTCTCCCCAGCTCTGCTGTTTCTGCTCCTCTGGGAGAGATTAGTAGGTTAATTTATGTGAGTCCCTTGCAGTTTCCGAGATATGGTAAATTCCTGGACATTTTATGGCACAATCCTTTATTTATCCTTCCATAACTTTAAAAAATACTCTTGCTCTGTTTCCGTTTGATTTTGTATCTGGAGTTGGGGTTGACTTGACTGTCACTTTAATGGTATGTGCCTTTATGGGGCTGCCTTTAAGAGGGCTGTGCGTGTATTTGTGCTCGCAGCACACATCTGTCAGGAGAGAAACTATTTCCTGGTTACTCTGAAAACTAGCATTTCATGTGCTGTTTTTTTGTTGCTGTTGAATCTTGCATGGGTGGTGCATGGGATTAAAATCATAACTGAGCTTCCTTAAAGCACATAAAGGAGTCCCCAAAGCTGCTCTTTGCAGGACTCCTCACATGCATTTGGCAGTTGAGCAGAGTGCCTTCAGAAGCATCCTCCACAGTGTGGTGCAGAGCTTTCCATGGCTCCCAGAGTCCCTCCGTGACAGCTGTCTTCAGGAGACATGCACTTCTCACTGAGAACTGGGAGTTAGTAAAGCCATAAATGCCAAACTCCAAGTGCAGCACTGCTAACGGCAGAGCAGGCTTTTGCACAACTGGTTTTGCTGTTTCACTTAAAGGAAAGTATTACCGTTTTGTGTCTTCCTGGGGTTAAGTATATGGGAAGGGACCTGTGTTGACTACTGGATTGAATTTTGAACATCGCGGCAGATGTTATACTTCCCAGGTCCTTTACTGGAGCATCTCTCCAATGCAGACAAGCTGAAAGTTGTGTTTCTCCAGCCTGGAGAATAAAAGGCTCTGGGGAGACCTTAGAGCAGCTCCAGTGCCTAAAGGGGGCTGCAAGAAACCTAGAGAGGGGCTTTGGACAAAGGCCTTAGGGACAGGACACAGGACAAGGGGAATGGCTTTAACCTGACAGAGGGGACACTGAGATGAGCTCTTGGGCAGAAGTTCTTCCGTGTGAGGGTGCTGAGGCGCTGGCACAGGGTGCCCAGAGAAGCTGTGGCTGCCCCATCCCTGGCAGTGCTCAAGGCCAGGTTGGACACTGGGGCTTGGAGCAACCTGCTCTAGTGGAAGGTGTCCTTGCCTGTGGCAGGGGGTTGGAACTGGATGAGCTTTAAGGTCCCTTCTAACCAAAACCAATCTGTGATTCTGTAATGAACAGGTGACACAACTGTGCATGTCTTATGGATATATTTTTTAATGATGTTGGGATGCTCCCATGGGCAACTCTGAGGTGCTGAGGCAGAAAAGTGGGGTAGCACAAAAGGAAGGAAGACAGAGGGTATCTTATGTGGGGAGGATAGGGTCAAATGTGGGGATCATGAAGGGGGCTGATGCAAAGTTACCGGGAAAAGTTGGCAGTACGTGGAGGAGATGTTTTGTAATATAGAGGCTGCTCTGTCTGCATGGGACGAAGCCTTAAATGATATAAATTAACACATCTGCACTGACTTCAGTAACTCTAGACCAGCTGGAGATATGGCCCGGCATGTGCTTAAGTTCAAAGCCTTTGCCGTTTCTCATTTCATTTCCTTTCATTCCAACAAATCCGTGAGTATCAGACAACTTACAGCTTTTCTGGCAGCAAGGCAGTGTTAATTGTTTGCAGCAAATGGGTTCTGGGAAGGTGTGAACCGGGCTCCGCATTGCTTGTACGTATGCCTGTGTGTGGCAGCTGTACTGAGCAAGTGTCCTGGTGAGACCGGTGTAGGTATGGCTTTGCAGGGTGATCTTACTCTTCACTGTGAAGGGAAAGGCACCCCCATCCTTGCAGCTCATTGACTGATGTCGTGCTCTTCTTGCTACAAAATCTCTGGTATTTTCACTGAAGTTCATTACCGGTAAGCGAGGCCCAGCTCTTCTGTCACCAGAAACAGAACTGCTTTTCCCAGCAAGACAAGCCTTTGACTCACTCATCCTCTGGTGGGATAACCTTCTAAAATAGTCTTAGTAACCTGAGTCTTAACACCTGTTCTGATCCTCCTGTGTGTATTCTCAATGTCTTTATTCCTGTTTTGCCCTGTTTTCTGGCTTGGCTGGGTTCTGTTACTGCATCGTGGGTTAGAAAAACTTCACTAGCTGTGAGGATTCACACAGTCAGAGATCTTGAAATACATGGCATGGGCTCTGTCTTGCTCTGAGATCTGTGGTTTTCCAGTCACACACACGTGAAGGCTGAGCTGTCAGGTCAGCAGTGTCATAAGCTGCAGAAGTTCACAGCGAGGAGATGCTTTATCTTGGAAGAGTGGGATGTATGGAGAGGACAGCAATGTCAAGGCTGAGAGGTCCTGTTCACACGTGCTCTGCCTAGGTCTGAGGGCTCTCCGGTGACTCTGGGTCAGTAACCAAAGTGATGTGATCTCTGCAGGCATGTGCTCACCGCTGGAAGAACATCTACTATGAGACAGAGTACATCCTGCCTCATGGCTTCTGCAACATCATTCCCCCCAACCTGCAGCCCAATGGGAGGAGGCTGTTTCCCTGCTATGAAGGTAAGGAGTGTGGGAATCAGGAATGGGGCTTACCTCTTACCTCCCTTGCTGTGGTCTCATTTTACAGCTGCTGTGCTTTCCCTTTATTTCCAAAACCATCCACAATAAACCATCCACAAATAAATCGCCCAAAATCATCCACAAACCACCCTCACTACCGATAATACTAATTTTTTGGTAACATATGGCTGCCTTGTGGCACAGCTGGGGTAATGGTGGGCTTTTGAATGAAGTTGGGTCCTGTGACTTACGGTGTGACTGTAAAGTCACACACTTTACTAGAGGAATAATATGTTTCTGAGCTGATTTTGACACAGCAGCTCTCTCTTCCCTTACGTGAATGACCAGGAGATACTGATCTGAGTCGGCCATGGCACACGGTAAAAATCCTGCATTGCGTTGCAGTCAGCAACCAATTTGCCCATCTTATGAAAACACTTTCAGTTTTGTGTTGCCATTTATCAGAGGACTAGAGGGGGAAATAAGGGTTGCTAAACACCTTGCTCCCTTTGGGGAACTTCTGCAGCAGTTTATATTAAACTGCTATTGTGTTTCAGGTGCCATAAGGTGTTTTGGTCCTTGTTTGGATCCTCTGAATGTCTGGGCTTGGGGTGCATGGAAAGGGAAGGCTCCAGCTCTGAGCAGGTGTGACTGTGCCTGCTGGTTCTACTCCAAATCCCAAGTGTCAGCATTTTAATTTTCCAGCTCTCTGGTGCATGTGAGACTCTTTTGTCATGTTTCCTTTCCTAAAGACTTCAGAAGACAGCATCTCCTCTGCCAAGAGCAATTAACTAAAGCAGGGGTATGAGTGTGTTGTCAGGAAGAAGACAGGGTATCTCCTAAGATTCCTTGGCCTTCAGAGAAGCATCTGGGGGAAAGCACGGCCTTGGTTTCTCCTGTGTCCTGGGCACTGTCTTTCCCCTCTTGCCTGTAGGAGCCTGAGGAAGTGTGGTCAATTGGAGGCCAAGACACAGCAGGGTTTGTTGTGGGCGAAACCTCTGATTGTATTGATTTATTTATTCACTTTTATTAATTCCCCCTACCCCATCCCCATCCAAAATCGGCAGCAGCCAAGAGCAGGCTTGCTGCTGACATTAGTAAGTGGGAGAGGGATAAAGATGTCCCAACAAGTTTCTCTGCTGCTGGCGAGTGGTCAGTCCCAGTGCAGAACTGGGTCTGCTCCGTACCCCCTTTTTCTCCTGAGCTGGCTCCTCCAGGCTTTACCCTGGGACTTGCTACAACAAACCCACACAGCTCCTGGAGACGGCACACAGCTTCAGGGCTGTGCGTTTCCCAGCCCTGAAATCAGTCATTATTTGTAACGCAAGGGATTTTGTATCTCATCTGCAGCAGAATACTTTATGGTCAACACACATGCATGGGGATGCTGCTTGGGGCTCCCTCTGAGCCTGTGCCACTGCTCTTGCACCACCTTAAAAGCGTCTTGCCTGAGGCTGTGGCCGGAGGTGGTTTCTGGAAGAGATGAACCGCTTGTGTTTTAGAGTGCGTCATGTCTTCAGAGTAAAAGTGCTGCTAATCTGACAGGATATTTGCCAGGAATTGCTAGAAAATAGAAATGTGTGGGCCCAGAACACGCAGAGCAGCCAGTGGAAAGTTGGCAGGGCTGGTGCAGTGCAATGTTGGCTTAATTTCACTCCATGCTAGAGTGAAAGTGGGAGGCTTGGGACTGATTTTCTGCCCCCCCGCCATCACACATGAAATCATGAAGTATCACGAGGGATGGCTGCGTTTGTTTACTCCTGTTTCTTTTAGGTTTCAGTAACACAAGCTCAAAGAGAGAAAGCCGTGCTGCGTCACGCAGAAGGATTCTTTGTTTGAGTCTTGCTGTGGAATAAGATTGCAGTCATCCTTGAAACTGTTTTCCTTCACAGCTAAGGTGATAAGCCCTGTGAGAGGCTGGTGTGACTGCTGGTCCACATGGTCCACAGCCAGAGCTGGCTCTCCATACTGGTGAAGGGTGCAGGCCAGTTGAGTGGGCATCAGTCTTCATCCATCTCTGTATATGTGTGTGCACCTTGGGATGGGTTATTCATTTGTATAACAGGAGTGTTCTGCCAGCAAGGGAGAGGAGTCTGACTTTGGGGCGGACGTACTTAATACACACAGTATGTTTTCTCTACATGTAAAGCGGGCTTAATAATTAAAAGGCAAAGGAGGAAATGGAAATTTCCTGACTGGATGGTAGTGGTGCAACAACGTAGTCTCAATCCATCTTATTCTTGTCCGGCTTCTCTGAAAGGGTTGACAGAAGTCTGGAAACAGCTGAGAGCTAATGAAAGCAGCAGCAGGCCTAATACTTTAACACAGTCTCTCTGAGTAGGAACTAATCTGGTTTATACGATCTGGATGACCTTTGTGGTATAGCTGGCTTATGGAGCCAGAGTCTTCCAGGCAGTGCTTTCACTTGGTTATTTTTCCTGTAGTTTTAATGGCCTTCCAAAATAAAAGGGAGCTGCCTCTTCATTCCCTTGGTGTATTCAGTTTGCAAAGAAGGGTGGCTGCATCTACTATGAGAGCCCAGCTGATGAGGAGAGCTGGGATGGTTTCCTGCTCCTCTGTGGTAGAAGTTGGTGGTGAAGGTGGGGAAGACTGATGGACCCATTGGTTAGTAAATAAGGGGGACAGCACATGCTCATATGCTTTGCTTCCAAAGGGACAAGCGAGGTTTCCCACAGTGTCCAGACCACATTTGGTTTTCTGGGAGCCATCAAAACATCCCTGCTTTGTGGTGCAAACCCAATACCACAATGCTAGGTCAGAAAGATTACTACTGTTTCTTCCTAGAGTAGTGAAACACTGTAAGATAGGAAGGAAGAGGCTTCCAGTGCAAATGATAGTTTACTGTAACTGTCCAATTTTGCTTCCATCTGTGAAGATGGTAGATGCAGGATTTTATTGCACTCTGGAGCTTATGCTATGTTACGGCATTGAAGTTTGCTTAGAGACTTTAAGAGGTTTGCTCAGAGAAGTTGTTGAGGAGCATTTGCCTCAAGAATCATCACATATCACAGCTTATCCTTTTTGTTTTGTATATTGTTTTATCCAATTACTTCTTCCTCAGCCTCCCTTCTCTTGTAACCCGAGATCATCATGGCTGCAAACCGCTAGCGTATATTTCCTCTCTTTCTTGCTTTCCGTGTTTATTCATGGCACATCTTCAAAGTCAAGGAGGCAACCACCTCCTCCAGACTCAGCCTCATCTTACTGCTTTGCTGTTGGCTGTCGCCACAGCAGTTAGTTTAGTGGCTTGCGGTCTGTGTAATTGGGGGTGCGCAGCAGTCTGCAGCAGACAAGGAAGAACAATAAAGGAGTGTAAAAACAAAGGCTCTGTTCATGACAGCGGTTATTGCCTGGGGCTATGCAGAAACTACAGAATCCACTGCGCCCAGTATCTAAACCTCATGCAAATGGTGCTAGTCAGGTGTGCAAAAGCTGTGAGCTGGTGCAGTAATTGCACAACGTCCTGTTGGTTGATCGTTGATGTGTGGATGGCAGTCGTTTAAGTGATGGGTGTCACTGCTGTGCACCAAAGTGGAGGGGAAGTAGAAGCAATCTTGGTTTGCATGCCTTTTGAGCTCATCTGCTGCTTGGGAGAGGCAGACCAGCTCTAGGGAGGAGGCAGAAGTCTGATGCTGGGATGTGACCATCCACAATGGGGCTGCCCTGGGCTGTGATCATGGATGCATGGGTGGAAAGGAGCCATGCTTGGGTGAGGAGCAGGGCGTACATTGCTGCAGGTAGGAATTAGATGGGCTGACAAGGAGGGGTGCTTTAGTGCTTAAAGGATTATGCTGGAATCCAGGAGCCCTGTGTCTGTCTGGACTGGGCTGCTGCCACCATGGGGAGGAATGTGTCTGTTTGGCTCCCCCCACCAAAATGTGGTGCTGATACCTGCTCTGGCCCCATGGAGCTTTAAATGCTCAAATAGTCTCAGTGTCCGGGATGTTTGGGACTCCGTGCTTCTGTTTTGTCTTGCAAAATGCCACTAAAGCTGTTTTTTCTCTCAGAGGTGTTAGGAAAAGAGGTTAATCAGTTTGCATGGTGTTCTCAGACCCCATCATGATGCGATGGGTCTTGATACTTGTGGGGAAGAAGGATGGTCATTGCTTTGCATTGCTGCTGTGTGTCGTGCTGAGCCACTGTAGAGAATCCATTTCTTCTTCTTCTGCAAGCTCTGTTTATTTTTCGTGACAAATATTGTCACATATTTATTCAAGTCAAAAAGTTTTGATGCCTTTTCTTCAGTTCAGGGAAGCACTGATTATATCCAGACTTTGCATTTACTTGAAATGCTGCAATCCCATCTATCCACTGCTACAACCAAAGCATAACTGGTTATTTAAGTGAAATGTAAGGCCGTTAGTTTGAGCAGATAGTAGTGGCAATGTAAACGACTCAGAACCCACCAAACATCATATAAAGCTATGAGCACTGTCAAAGTATGAGCTGCAGGGGACATGCCAACTCAGTTTATGTTACAATGAGCATTTAAACCACCAAATCTTTCCCATTTCTTATGCATTGCAGTTAATAATTTGGTTCATATAAAGAGTAATTGTTTTTTTTTCATTGGCCTGACAATGAAAACAAAAATGTGTATGTTTCTTTTCTAATACATATATTGCTGATGAATATCAGCTGTGTTGTGTTCTCTGATGTTGGGACTTTCGGTTTAGGTTACCCGTCAATCCAAATTGGTCTCCCTGTTTTTTTGGTTTCTACAGGAGGCAAAATTTATACTATAATAAAACATGCAGTGAATTCAATAACTTGTCTGGAGAAATGGTTTCATATTTGTGCATGTGTTGTTTTATCAGAATAAAATCCTCTGTTTATCCTAAGAAACGAAGCAATTTTGTATGTTTGAGCACACGCACATGAAGCTACAGATCCATCTATCACTGTTCTATGACTGCCTTGTTCCATTGCTGAAGCAGCTGCTATTCCTTCTGCTGTCCTATGGCTTTGCATATGTTTGCTTTTTTTTTGCAGCCAGATTCAGAGGTGAGCTTGAGTGATCTGAATCAGTTGCACCTGCAGGCCCATGAGGATGGGGCTCTCAGTGGCTGAAGTTATGTGGGGAGATGGTTTGGAGACGTTCAAGCTGGGAAATCATAGAACCATAGAATGGTTTGGGTTGGACAGGACCTTCAAAACTCATCTAGTCCAGCCCCCCTGTACAGCGACGTCTTCAACTAGATCAAGTTGCCCAGAATCATATCCAGCCTGGCACTGAATGTCTCCAGGGATGGCACATCCATCACCTCTCTGTGCAACCTGTGCCACGGTTTTACCACCCTCATTGTACAGTTTTTTTCCTCTCATCCAGCCTGAATCTCTCCTCTCTTAGTTGAAAAGCTGATATCATGTTTGACGTTTTTACGTGTTGCTGAAAGATCCAGATCTTTTGTTGTGCAAGTTAAATATCCTACGGCAATTTTCCTCTTTCATTATAAAGCAAATTGAGCAGTCTATTTTTTTTGAAGGGGATAATTAAAGAAACCATGACCTAAATGTAATACAATTTTATAGGGAAATACAACATTTTAAAACCATCAAATTGTCAACAAGACACACTTGCAGTGGGTGGTTATGGGCCTGACACAATGAGGCATCGAGGCTTGCTCTCCAAAGAAGTGGGTGTGTAAGAAATCTTCTCTCCTCATGTCCCTTGGGTGGCTTTTCAGGCTCCCTGATCGTCAACCTGAGCCCCTTTAGTATATCCTGTGAAGTGGGATTTAAGAAGGAAGTCTCTAAAGCCTTGAGCTCTGTCATTACAAAGGCCTCCTGCCTATTTTAGCAGGTAAGGCAGAAGGATACTTCAAGACCCCCATGGGACTAGTGGCATTTTGCTTTGAATTACACTAAGGTCAAGAGCACGACTGTGAAGAGGCAAGGTCTGTCCACGCTTCAGAACATTGTGTAAAGGAAAATCCTTGGATTGAAGTGAAAGCATGTGAATGGGATGGATGTGGAAGTTGGTGCATTTCATCCTATGCAAGGGTGGGAATCCAGCTGTAGCGAAGGCAGTGCCTTCAGGATGTGCACGACATTATTTTGCAGGAAATGCCAGAGGGAGAAACCTCATCTCCTCATCTCACTGCATAAAAAACATTTGTATCAATAAGCAAATACTTTTTTCCCAGGCGAGGAGTGCCCAGCTCTGTGAGAGGCTGTACATGGAGAGCTGGCAATTCAGAGCCCCAGCACTTTCTGAGTAGCTGTGAGCAAATATAGGCTTCATTTTTCAGTGGAATTGTTGTCGTGCATTCCCACGAGGAATCTGAAGTGTGCTTCTGGTGCTCCTGGTCTGCTGGGACACACATCTGCTTTGGCAGGACCCTGCCTCAGCCAAGGGCATCAGGCATTTGGGCTATAATTTGTGGATCAAGTCACTGTTGTGCGTGGTCTCTCCAGTTAAACCTCTCCCTGTCCAACTAGTATGACCTTAGCAAATTCCTTAAAATCTGAGCATCTTTATGATGGTAGGAAGAGCCTATATATAATATATAAAGGGGGAATGGGGTGTCTGTGTTTATGTGTAACGTATCTGTGCTAAGGCAGCAGTTTATGATTGATTCCTTTTGATCTTCAGTAAAGTGCAGCTGAAAAAGAACTTGCTTGGTTCCAAAGAGGTAATTTGCTCATTGATTTCATTAGATTTTATTTTTTTCTTTTAGCATTTAACAATGAGTTAATGGTGCTTACTTAACAGAAAATAAATAAAATTCACAATTACCAGGGTACATGGTGGATGGTTTTGGGATGTATGGAATATGCAGGAAGTAGCAATATGCTGAAGCTTGGCGCTCATTACTATGGTAAATATGTGGAAATAATGCTCTGGGGAAAAAAACAACTGTGAAGGTTCTGATCTTGCTGGAAGTTTCAAATGTTCCTAAATGGAAAATGTTTGGATTAAAGGCAGGCGGAAAGTGGTTCCCCCACCATGTATTTCTATAAAAAATATTTTTTTCCTCTTCTGCAAAAAGAAAATGCCTCAGGTTTGAAACATTTGCTACATAAAATACAGAAACAGAAACTATGCCGATTTGATCCCCTGTGGACTGGGAGCTCTGAGCGGATGACCATGAAAAGCAGCAGACCCCAGCATCCCTCAGATAAGGCTGTTGTCTGAGTCAGTAGCACACAGGCATGTGCGTCACCTTTTATTCCTCCCTTCCCAGCTGTGCTCATCTGGCTAACAGAGGCACCTTTACTGGGGTGATGCTGCAGCTATCATACTGCTCTGATACTGCTTGTTTAGTGTCTCCCTGTCTGTGCCCCCACTTCCAGGCCACTTGCTTTGCCCTTTTCTGTGGGTGAGGATGCTGCCATGGTGCACACTGGTGGCACATCCATTGGTAAAACCCAGGAGCCTTGAGTGCTGGTGTCTCCCCAGGCTGTGCATTTAGCGATTCAGACCGCTTGGGTGGAGAATGTGTGCTGTGCTGGGGATGACCATGGTTTATTTCTTCCCTTCTTCATCCAGAGTACAAGAAGAAGTATGGGGAGGAGCACGGCTCATGCCAGGCAGGGATTGCGGGCTTCTTCACAGAGGTGAGCAGGGGCGAATGCATGGAAGGGATGGGGTTGGTGAGCAGCTCTCCTCCTGCATGACCCAGGAGGGCAGCACCAGGCATGGCTTGGACAGAGGGCTGAGAGCTGAGCATTGTCCCTTCCAGCCAGCACTCTCCTGCATCATCCAGCCTCCTAGATACCTGCATCTTGCGCCATGCTTGCCCAGTGGCTCAGACATAAGTCTGTTGGTGATTCAAGATCTGCGGACAAAAGTGAATGAATTGACTCAGAGAAGTGTCCTCGGGGAATATTTTTATTGGGTACATCCCAAAGCTTGCATAGAGATATTTCTGTACCTAATATTAACTCTTTAAATAATGATGTAAACCAGTTCTCCTTAAATGGCTTTGTTGATGTATGTGGGTATATGTATCTATATATATATGTTTATATATACATTCGTAAGATAAGCTTTTTTCTTCCCCACTTCTGCTTCAGTTCTTTATTGCAAAAAGGTGGAGAAGAATTAAAATGGTAAAATATATGCTCCAGAGCTGTTCTAGATAGTGGACCATAAACTACTGTCCAGGAAAGAATATCAGCAATGTTTTAGTTATGTCAAGGATGCATTTGTTCGCTTATGTATGTATTGATGTCCTTTTATAATGTTTTAGGGTTGGGGTGTTTTTTTGTGTTTTGTTACTGTCTTGTCAAGTATATACCTACCCCTTCTTATATATGCACAGGTCTGCAGAATTGTCCGGGCTGATACAAGCGGGATACAAGTGTGCTCTGTGAAATGGCAGAAAGTGATTTCCGAGTAAAGTGGGATGGCAGGCGATGTTGCCACAGTGGCACTCTGATAACTGGATACTGAGACAGCAGCAGCTGTTTCCTGCCTTGTCTGCTCTTTCCAGCCTGTTTCTGTTCCCATGCTTTAAATCCTCCTTTGCTACCCTGGTTCAAAAGATATCTTTGAACTTTCATTGCTTCAACCTGATGGCAGCTCACTGAGCAGGAAATGCAGATAAATGGCTTTTTGGGTCAAACAGGCAAGCCCCTACCATATATTCAGCACTGCTGATGGTAGTTGTTCCTGCTGGCAAATGATCCCTTGACCTCGAGGGCATGGCCCCTCCCAAGTTAGAAAGCTGTTGCCAAGCACGTTCTGCTCTTGGGTTGGGTTTTCAGTCCTGTCCTTATTATTCCTAATAATAGTCTTATTAGGAAAATCCCTCATTTAACATCTCCTCCTGACTGGAACTGGTTGCCCGAAGGGCTCCCAGCTGTGGGAGCATTTTCCCACAAGGATGGAGTCCACTCATGGCCTCGCATTGAATGGAGATGTGAGGCAAAGCAGCTGTCTTCACTTCTCCTCCGGGGTGAAGAACTTACCTAGGCTTAATGCTCCCCAGGCTTCATTTGGTCCCTTGCTGAGGGTAATTAAAACCACATTTAAGAGTACGGTTTTCCTGCAAGGATGCTGGATGCTTTGGGGCAACGTTTTCTCAGTCTCTCTTGCAGGTAAATGTACCTTGAGATTTGCTTCAAAAGCATTATCCATGAGCATTTCTCTTTGGATACTGGGTCAAGCTTTGCCAGATTTCTAGTCTTTTGAAATCCTCAATCAGGCTGTGTGATCCTAATGAACTATAGGTTGTCTCTTGAAGAGTGGAGCATATCTAATGACAGAGCAAGGCAAAATGTACCAGCCATCATGTAACACAACCCTGTTCATTGAGTGCATGGCAGGTCTTTAGCTTCATAGTTGTAAAATCAAAATCCTTTGTGCTGCATCCTTCATGACTGGTTAGTGTAGCTTGTCAGCCAGCATCAGGGCATGGTCTATAGCTGAATGGTGGCTCTGGGTGGGCTAGGGCACTTCTGTCTCTTGGGGAGGGTCTTCAGGTCTTCTGGAGAATGGCTGGGAAAGGCAGCAGGTGGAGAGAGATTTTTGGGAGGACTGTGTTATCAGGGATGAGTTTGATGGTTGGTAAGGCTGAGGAAGGCCTATTGAAGCAGCAGGACAGCTGAGCATAAAAGGACCATAAAAGGGGGAGACCATGTGTCTCTAGGGTGTGTGCCGTGACCTCCGTCTTTGGAAAGGATACACACAGAATGGAGACTGTTATAGATGGTCCTGCAATTGGTGTTTTAAGTTAATATCCCATCCCTTCTCCATTACCATGTAAAACAGGATTTTTTGTCCAGTTTTGACCATTAATTATGTATTTCCCTATCCTTTCCCTCACACCTTTCTGTTTTTCCTGTTGTAGGAGCTGGTCATCATGGGTGCACCGGGATCTTATTATTGGACAGGAACTGTCAAAGTACTGAATCTCACTGACAACACATATTACAAGCTAAACGATGATGCCATGATAGGCAGGCGGTACACATACCTTGGTAAGCAGCACTCTGGTGCTCAGTGTGAGAATGGCTCAGTTGAACAACAGATTTCAGGGCTTTGGTGCTGTAAAGTTGATACTGAACATGCATTCCAACTGAAAAGCAAGTTGGATGGTAGTAGGCCTCCTACATTCCTGCCTTTGCCCTGTGATGGACAAATTATTTGTCAGTGGTTAGGCTGTGTCTGCTTACACCAGACTTTAAAATGGGTACAACACACAGTTACAGAATGTATGTTGCAGACACAAATTAATTTCAACAAAAATAGCACCACAGAAGTGAGTCATTAGCAACAGAAGATTGTGAAAAGATTGGCTATAGGTTCGAGTACATCTTTAACTTGCTTGGTTTTTCTTGCTCTAAAATCAGCTGATGTCCTAAAACACTTAATTTAAAGCCTTCCACTTAATCCCCAGTGCCTAAGACTGTTGAGACCTAGAAAGCTTTTCCAACAGTCAGTAGTTTGATATTGTTTGACTAAAGACTCACTCTGACCTCTCATTCTCCCATTAACCTTTAGTCTTTAAAAAAATACCACTTGGAAGATACTGTTTGGTGATAGCTAAATGGGAGTGTATATATACGTATTTGAGCACATAAATAGGTTTTGGCACTGATAGACCTGAATTATAGTGTTACCATATAGACAAGAGCCTCATAATTTACCAGAGATGAGCAAGGCAAATACAAGACAGCCTTAGAAGGAAAGTGATTTACCCATCTTTAGTTATTATATATCATTTTAATATATCAAATAAGACTGAATCTTTGATCTGCTTCTTTCAAACACACTGTTTCTTTCTTTGATCTATCCTCCCATTTTTCTTCTTACCTAAACAAAAATCTCTTTAAGCCATTAACATCTCTGACCTCTTTGTCCACTGTCCTCCGCTCGCCTCCCCCAACCAAAAAGGCATGTAATTTTCCAAGCCTTCCTGGGCAGTGATTTTAGCCAAGGGAGGACACTTCAGTCTGGTGGATGTGAGACTGTTGCTCTTTGATGTGATACTTTCTCTGCGGTGATGTGGTTTCTTTGCTGTGTTTGTGCCTATTCCTGTCTTATTGCTTCCCTTTCTGGACTCACAGTTACCAAACTGTTCCCTGTACCTGCATCGTGTGTCCCTCACCCAGCTCCAAACACCCCTTTCTTCTCTAAGCTTTCAGAAGGGTACTGGGGGACGTACTGTCACTTCATAGAACTCTCTGCAACTGCCTGACAGGAGGATGGAGCCAGGAGGGGGCTGGTCTCTGCTCCCAAGGAACAAGTGGTAGGACAAGAGGAAACGGCCTCAAGCTGCAGCAGGGGAGGTTTAGACCGGATATTGGGAACAATGTCTTCTCTGAAAGGCATTGGAACAGGCTGCCCAGAGCAGTGGTGGGGTCACCGTCCCTGCAAGTGTTCACACACTGTGTAGGCGAGGCCCTCAGTGCCATGGGTTAGTGGTGGCCTTGGCAGGGCTGGGGAATGGTTGGACTTGATGATCTTAAAGGTGTTTTCCAACCTACTTGATTCTATGATTCCCAGTGCTGTGAGCTTTCGAGCAGAATATTGGCACATCCTGAGCAGAATGTTGTTGGATGCTAACAGTGTGCAGCCCAGGAGGAGCAGTGATCCAGATGGCTGACCTGCTTGTCAGGCTCTTCCCTTTCATGGTTATTTACTTATTTATCTTGTCCCTCCTTTCCCACCCCATCTCCTCTCTCAGGATATGCAGTGACAGCAGGTCATTTCTCCCAGCCGACTAGCACGGACGTTGTAGGAGGAGCTCCCCAGGATGGAGGCATCGGAAAGGTGCGCCTTTTTCTCAAACACTAATGTGGTCAGATGCAATGGGGCAAAACCAGCAGTTTTGGTACAGTTCCCACATATCTCAGAAGTCAGGAGAGTTTTGCTTACAGGGCAGTTTTGGAGCACTGAGCAGAGAAGAGGTGAGGTGTTTTGGTGAAGTCATCAACCCTCTCTTCCCTTTTTCTCCCACCCAATCCTTACCTTAGTTACTTATAACATTTCTTTCACACTGCTGTCATTTAGGATTTTTAATGTATAGGTATCACTTAAACCTTGCCTGGAAATGAAAAAAACTTGGAAAAAAGAGTTTGTCTTCTGCTTGTTTTCTTCATACATTTGGCTATTTCAGTACTTACTTCAGGGTAGCATCTCTAAGGAGCATGAAAAGCCATTTTCTAGGTGATTTGTTCTCCCTCTTAAAACTTCATAATACGTTGAAGTTTAGTGGATTAGAATCTGGGTTTCTGCCAGATGTGGTTCTAAATCTTTATGATTGATATTCTCTTGGGAAGGGAAAAAAAAACCCTATGGTTTTCCTGTAGGCAGATCTATGTTTGATGTCCCAAAGATGTAAGCAAGTGAATGGCTAGATGGAAATGGCTGGTGAGCTAGGTGTGCTTGGTGTTCCTGTGATGAGTAGTCAGCTGCTATCGAGGCAGCCAGTTGGGAGTGAGCACTGTGACCCTCATACACCTCTGAAACAAAGGTGAGAAGAGGGAGAAAAGCGACATAAAGTATCTGCTTTTGTTCCTTTCTTCAAAATCCAAACCTCTGGGGACCTGCTGTCACCATGTGCTTGAGCAGAGATGTCCTGCAGCCGCCTTCCATCTTTGTCCTTCTGGCTCTTTTCTAGAGGAACATGAATTGGTGTGGAGTGTCTCCACTACCATGAGGAGAGGTCTCCACTACCATGAACACTATCCCTTGGTTTAGGCAGGTTATTTCTAGTAGTAACCGTGTCCCAGAAGGTAGTAGCACAAGTGGAGAAAACAGAGTAAAAGCAGAGGATGAACTTGGTACATTACCTGATCTGGCATGACTAGGATATATGGGATATAGTAGCAGCGCAGTTGCTACTGAGTGGACATGCACACACGAAAGACATGGTGTCATTATCAGGTGCTCTGTTATGACTGCTCCAATGCACCTTCCTTCCAACCTGTTTCCTGGTGGAACAGATGTTATTTCTGTACAAGGAGGGAGAAAGAACCAGCTGCTAATGTGAGATCCATGAGAAAGCACCTGCTGCTATAGTTTAAAAGACTGCTGCTCTACTCGTAAAAGCTCCTGTTATCCTCCCTTGGCATGGGATGTGGGTAGCAGGAATGCACGGCAAAGAGACTATAGGAGGTGTTGAGTACAGGACATTATGCTGAGGAGTCCTGTTGTGCTTTCCTCACTCTCTAATAAGCTAATCCTTTCCACTTCCCTGATGGAAAGTGATTAGCATTGTCACACCCTTTTCACTGAAGGTAAAGCCAGGTTCTTAATGAATGAGTCATTTCTCTAAAGTAAGCAAGAAAGAGTGTCATCAGTTAAGGCTGGGTTTGGAGTTGTGACACCTGGCAACATGCTCTTGCTGCACTGCAAAAACCCAGGGAGTCCTTTATATCTAGAGCAATCGTCTGCAGTAAATCTGTTTTGTGTTCTTGGCCAAGAACAGCTTTGAATTCGGTCTTGCCACCTATTAATAACTTGCCACATAATCAACTGTGTCAAGGGCTTGGCTCTGCCACGTGGCCTTAGAAGTGAGGATCCTCTGTCCTGCAGACTGTGAGCACCTGCTAGGAGGGAGGCTGTCAAATATTGGAGGAGTCTCAAAGGCTAACAGAGCCAGCCTTGCTGTGAAAGGGAGCCCCTTTCTGCAAGCCATACATTTTAGGCCATAAATCTTGGTACAAGATCTGTTATAGAGCTCATATCAATATTTTTATCCCTGGGAGTTCCTGATTAAACAGTTTCTCCTGTGGAAACAAGTAATGAGTGAACTATGTTTTGAATAGTTTTCTGATTTACGGATTGTTTCAGAGAGAAACAGTGCAAATGCCTTGGGTGGTCCGATGGGGATTTCTACTCTGACCTTTGCTAAGGCATCGTGAAGTCTGCAGGGCAGTACGTGCAGGCATGTGTCCTTGAGAAAGGAAGGCTGGACAAGGGAAGGGAAGCAGGTTTTGCCTTCTCAGCCTTTTACCATTTCCAGGCAGCCTCCAGATGCCACTTGTTGGGAGTACCTTTACTACTTGCTTTTAAATACATAAATGTGCACCAAAAAATGCAGGTGACAAGATATTCAAGCATTTTTTACAATAAGAGGCCTGTGGTTCATAATGAAAACGGGGACCTCTATGTTTTGTCTTTTGAAAGAAGACTGAGCATTAAAGTGGTCATGACATTGGATCTTGGCAATAGCAATGGCCATGATCATGATTTAGATATTATTTAGGAAGCAACAATGCTGCACCATTATGTGAGTCATAGTTAGTATTGGTTAACTTTTTTCTTTCTCTTTTCAGGTTTATATCTTCAGAACAGACAGACTGTCAGGCTCTCTGGTAAAGATTTTTCAGGCTTCAGGGAAAAAGGTGAGCTTTTATGTATGCATGTTTTCTTTTAAGAGGTAGAGAAGGGGCAAATAATGGCAGGGTCATCTCAGCGTTGTTTTTATTCCACTGCTTCAAGAGTTGTCAAGCAAATGCTGTTTCTTCTTTTCATCCCAGAAGAGTTAAACCTACTGTGCAGATCAGTTGTATGCCCTTTCTCCTGTAGCAGTCATAACTGCAGTGTCTGCTCAATGCCCACATGGCTGACAGGAAATGTCTTGCTGAAAATTGTCCTAGTGGTTCTGTTTAGCCTCATGCAGCTGTAGCAGCACCTTCTGAGATGTGGGATGTGGGGTGCCCAGTGAGCCTACACACAGAGATTTCCTTTTAGATGTTACTGGGAGATGTGGGTAGCCTGGGACTTGGTGTGATACAAGAGCCCCAGTGTGTTTTCCTATGTGACAGGGGGGGTTATGCTGTCTTATGGAGGAGCAGCTTCATTACCTCAAGAGGTTGCAACCTACCCCTTCTCACCATGAATCAGTTCTGCCTTTTGCTCTTGCTGAACTGCACTCACCATTAATTTTAGTGAACGCTAGTGAGATCCAGCCCCCCCCCCCCCCCCCCCCCATGCAGTGTTATATCAGAGGGGGCAACAACTTGTGCTCTTCACTGGGGGCTTGCTGGAGATGTGTTGCAGGGGAAATGAAGTGGATGGTATGTCTACCTATAGGTAACAATAAAAAGATCTTATTTGGGAATAACACAGTGAGGAGATGATATCCCTTACCTGGAGCTACCTGTGTTCTCCTGGAAATACAGAAGGAAAAGGTTACTGGTGGCTTCTGGGTGTGGGAAGACCTGCCACTCTCAGACAGATATGAAGTGTTTGACTGTATCATCAAATTGGGACTGTTAGCATGTTTTGTTATTTTTTTCCCAACAAAACACAGTCTCAAAAAACATGCCTGGAATGGAAGAAAACTGCAAGGCTGTGCAGGGGGGATGGTGTCACTTGTATTTTAGGGCCTCTCCAAAATTTATCTTTCTCTGCATTAGCAGAATTGAAGACATCTTGAAAGGAAAAGACCTCCCAGTTCATCCAGGGCATCTCCTGTGTTTGATTGCTTCCTGTTCATTTCTTTCTCTGTTGACTTTTAAATGTCCCTAAGGATATGCTTCTAGAGAACTATTCCTCAGCCTAACAAACAGAGCTATCAGGAAGTTTGCAGCTCTCAGCCAAAATCTTTCCTTTTTCATTCAATTGTGTAATATGTAACTTGAACAATCGGTTATTTGCATCCTTCAAATACTTGTAGGCTGCCATCTCCTCCTTCCCTGCAGCATCTGTCTTCTACAAATTCTCTACAATGCAAATGAGAACTTTATTTGAAAAAGAAGGCCGTCCTGAATCACCCTTCTTTTGTTTTGTAATTGAAATATAACCAGACATGCTCAGCACTGAGCCCTGCCTGGAAATAAGCTCTCACAAAGTGCTGCATCCTTCTCGGTGGTACGAAAGTTCATTGTCCCTGCATTCTTGTTCAACAGAAGTTTAAAGCAGGCCAGTTTCTTCCATCTCTTTTTTATTGCTGGAGGGTGAGCTAGGAAATCAAATAAGGAGAAGAAAAAGGAAAACACAGTGCCTTGTTGTATATGTTAAGTGAACAAACATCAGGTTCTCACAGCACTGTGAACTCACCCACACTGCAGGCATACCATGTTGCAGTCAAGTAAATAATAGCCTTTCCCTGAAAACTGCCTAAATACATAATGAAATGCTTCTCATATCTTCTTCTCCTTACCCATGAGAAATCTGTTGTAAAACCTAAGTGGATTAAAAAAAATAAACAAATAAAAAACCCACAAGGGAGCTTAAGCTACAAAATAACTGGCATCAAATGATGTTTGAGGTCTGACCTTAAACCCACACAAACACAGAAATCTGAAGTACAGACTGAAACTCTATCCTTAACTCACCCCACTATATATATATTTAGCAGCTTTTAAACCTTATGGACTTCATAGAACAGAGTCGCTGCTGGCCATCTCCTGCATGCCTGGTAGCTCTTGCTGGTGCATCTAAATTTATCAGGCGTAGAAGGCCTGGGACCCACAATGAGGAATGTAAAAGCATACAAGATAGTGATTCATTCTTTTTAACCTAAATAATGATTTCTGTAACCTCAATCTTTCCTGCTATGTAAACAGCTCTCAATTTCAAGTCAGAAGTGGTATCTTTCCAATTGTCTTGTGGAAGTTGCTTTTAATTTTGAGACTATGGTTTGTAGTTGGTCTCAAAGAGTATGCCTTGTGGTACCTTAGGAGAAGTGGATGAAGTAAGGGTGGAATATCATTCTTGCTTTTGGTCTCCTTCTTGTGTTTAAATGTGTTTTGAAATTCATAATCATAGAATACCAGACTGGTTTGGGTTGGAAGGGACCTTAAAGCTCATCCAGCTCCAACCCCTGCCACGGGCAGGGATACCTTCCACTAGAGCAGGTTGCTCCAAGCCCCGTCCAACCTGGCCTTGAACACTGCCAGGGATGGGGCAGCCACAGCTTCTCTGGGCACCCTGTGCCAGTGCCTCAGCACCCTCACAGGGAAGAGCTTCTGCCTAAGAGCTCATCTCAGTCTCTCCTCTGTCAGGTTAAAGCCATTCCCTCACTGCATGGCCTTACCAAAGCCCCTGTCCAGGTTTCTTGTACACCCTTTTTAGGTATTGGGAGACTGTTATAAGGTCCCCCTGAGCTACTAAGGTCCCTGAGTTATAAGGTCTCACCCTGTAATGTGGGTGCTGGTTGGGAGATTGTTAGCATTTAATGTTAACATATATCAAAAATTAAGTAATGAAATTAATGGATTTCTTAAAGTTAAGCAGTTAAGTTTTATCAAGCAGTAATATCTGGAGACTGAAAGTGACGCTTAGGTTCTTTGTGTATCCGCTAAAAAGCCTTTATTGAAGGTCTTTCTGTGTTAACTCACCTGCTTGTACATGAGAAGAAAGGCTATGATCAAACCCCACAACCAGTACTGCTATTTGAAGGTGACTGATATAAACAGGTACAAATAGAGCAGGGGAAGTCAGACCACAATCAAGAAGTAATTTTAGATGCCCCTTTTCATGGATATCCTACCCCTAGCCTATTTTTCTTTTCTTTATTTCTTTAACACACCCCCAGAAGATCTGTGGTACCCAATTTCAAGCCTCTTTAGGAAATCTGGTACTGGGCATGAATAATCACTTGCCAGACCTTGGTTTGGGAAACTTATTTCACCCCTTCCTGGTTTTAAGCATTTGACAAGTGAAAGCTCATATAAGAAAGCTCTTTAAGTGTCTCACTTAAGCGTGTCTCAGGGTATAAAGGTATAAATCTAATTCCTTTGTTAAAACATCCAAGCTGATGCACTGTTACGGTAAAGTGTTTAGTTCCTGCCAGAATTATCCCCATAGCTTTCTCTTTAGGAGTCCTTGCGAGTGATAAAGCAACAAGTCATCATTTGAAATTAAAACAAGAAAACACGCCTAAATGATTTCCTCCTGTGTGTGGGCAGATACTGAACGCTTTGTTGTGACTCGGCTTGGTTACAGATGGGCTCTTACTTTGGCTCCTCCTTATGTGCAGTTGATCTGAACTCTGACGGGTTGTCAGACCTGCTGGTCGGAGCACCTATGTTTTCTGAGATCAGAGATGAAGGTCAAGTCACAGTCTATATCAACAGAGGAAACGTGAGTATGGGCAGGAGAGGGCTTGGTAAGGGATGAGGGTGTGGGTGCGGGCAAGGTAACACTAGCGTCCTTCCAGTACTCCATGGAGAAACTTGATCTCTTAAACAGTGGGGCTCTGGATGCCTCTAGCAGAGCATGAAGTCACAGAAAACTCATCTGGTATCCTGGTTTCCCAGACACAGCCTGCATTCATCACAGAGCTGTGAATCTTTCGAGGAGGTCTGGGGAAGTTTCTGGTTTTATGTTGAAACTTGGTGGTATTTGTGGCTTTACATGAAGCTGATGCCAAAACCAAGTAGGAGTCAGCAGCTTTGACTGAGTTCCCTTTGTGTTTTGGGTGGTCAGTAAGACCTACAAATTAGAACACAAATGTCTGGGGACCTAGGAGACTTTGTGAAGAGAAACCAGAGGTTGAATTCATGTTATCTTTACGTTATGCCTAATATAGAGACTTCAGGGGAAGTTCCTATCAGTTGGTACTATTGAATTTCACGTAACTGAACAACAGTCTTGGAAAAACCTGAACTTTCTTGCATCATCAAAACAAGATCATTCTTATGTTGTATCTATAGGAAAACAGTGGTTTATGCATTATTAAATACTTAATATTCAGGTCGCAGTCCTGCTATATCAAACCAGGAGTTGTTATGGACTAAAATGAAATTGGTTTGCCTCACCAGTATTATGTGAACTTTAAGTTTGTTTATGCTAGGGTTACCATTCATCCCAAGTCCTGTAGGCAGCATTTGGGAGACTTCAGTATCACTTCTGGTGTAATTTCGTTATCTGTTATTACTCCTCTTTTAAATGAGCTTTACTTTTTCAGTTCGATCCGCAGGCTGTCCCAGCAGTGTTGCTGCTCGATCTCTAGGATAGGGTGTAGAATGCCAAGCAGATAATAGCCATCATTTCCTGCTTGCAGTGAGAATGTGCAGGAGTTCATTTTCTATCTTTTAAAAAGCAGTCAAGAAGCTAGTAGGAGTTTCTTGTACTCCTATGGCACAAATTACGTGCAGGAGCAATAGCTTGCAGGATGGTGGGGTTTATTTTGGGGTTTGGACATTTCAAACTCTGTTCCATTCTGTAAGCACCATTGCTTAATAGGTTGCTGCATCAGATCAGAGAAACTGCTTCATCATACAAGCATGCATAGTGGCGCTAGATTTAATACACCTATATTTGCCCTTTCCTGTGAGGACTGCAGAGAAATGAGTCGCACGTACAGGCCTGTCTCCTCTCTGTTGCATTTCAGTTTCTTTATGTGGGGTTTTCTTAAAGTCAGCAAGTCCCTACAGCTGAGTAAAAGATTTTATTACATGTTCCAGAGGGCAGTTTACTCTCATTCACAAAGAAAGCAAAACCAAACCAAACCAACCCTGGAGGTGGGTACAGAGTTACATTGCATAACTGAATTTTGTTTTCTTGTGGCAATGTTCCCTTCCCCTTGAGGTAAGACAGCAAGAAACTAAAGCCAATGTATCTGACCAGAAAGTGGGTGGGCAAGAAATACCAGAGCCATATAAAGCTTCTCATGGCACAGGAGTACAAAGCTTGCTTTTGAACTTTCCTCTGCCCCTTTATTTCATTAAATCTCTTCCCTTATTCTTCATTTCAGAAGGCTTTTTGGGGACTTTGCTTTAATCCTTCAGTCCAATACTTAAAAAGTTTTCAAATCCATTTGCCCCAATGTTCTTTGCTTAGGGGAAAATTTTCCTTCACTCACTGCAGTTTAGTTTGACTAAGTCTGGACTGAGGATTTTGCTCCTTGGATGTAATCTGCCAGTAGAGCGAGCCCTGGGCTGTTAGGTTTTAGGCATCTGGAAACCTTCATGAGCTCACCAAGCCCTATGACTGCATTTCGTTACATCACTGAGTTCAGTTAATCTAGCATTTTAGTTATATCACTTACACACTCCTTTTCATTCCCTCTCTCCCTCCTAACTGAAAGACAGAAGGTTAAAAACCCAAATAAATTAGATTCCCAGCACCTGGGTGATCTGTGTGCAACGAGGGCAAGAGTCAGGCTGCAGCTGTTCCCAGGTGCTTCCCACCACACGGATGGCTCCCATGGGAAGGCTTGCCTCATCCAGGGCTCGCACCATTTCCCTGACCCTGTTTTATTTCCTGCTTGCTAGGGGGTGCTGGAAGAGCAGCTGGTCCTGGATGGTGACAGCGCCTACAACGCGCACTTTGGGGAGAGCATGGCTGCGCTCGGTGACATTGATGATGATGGATTCCCAGGTTGGTGTGCTTTCTTCCTGAAATGCCAGCAGGACTGGTGGCACCGCTGGCCTCTTTTCATGGCTGAGTGCTGTGTGGCATCCATTGCTCCTTCAGAGCTCGTGATGAGGATAAATGTGCTTGCATAGGATTTGATAAAGCCTTTTGTAGCTGATTGTCCTTGATTTGGGATTAGTCCATGTCCATGCAGCTCGCACCCCAATCACATTAACGTTGCTTTGCTTTCCTTGCTGTTGCATTTTCTTATTCCGTGTTGTTTATAAAAGGCTTTAAATACCCACACCCTGAACAAAACCAAGGCACATCTGAATTCTTTCTCTTTCCCATTTTTTGTCTTCACACCTCTCCAGTTTTGATGACATAATCGCGTTTCTTATCATGAAGTGTAATTAAGCAGTAGCTTCTCACTCGTGATAACGTGCTCTATTATTTCTTTCCTTCACTTTATTCTAAGCCTGCTCCTTTTGCAGGCTGCTCAGTGTGAGGCCCCCATGCAGTGACAGCAATAGGTGAGAGCAAAGTGTTGATGTTGGCGCCTTTTCTGCCTGGAATTCTGGCAACACAGATTAAGGACTTCCAAACAAAGGCTGACTTGCTCAGTGTGTGCCTGGATTTATTTCTTCCAGGCCACTCAGGGTGTGGTATCCCATTAAGCCTAACCCAGCCTCATTGCAGGTTGCCCTCACAAATGATGGGCATGCTCTTCCTCTGCACTTGGACATGCGTTTGTATGTTCTTGCTGCTGCTTGTGGATCAGTTGTGATGATGGAGAGACTGTGGAGTGAGCTGAGTCAGTCTGCGGGTAGGAAGCCATTGGGAAGATTTTAATTTTAGCAGCTGTATAGTCACAAAATCCAACTAGGTGAGGAGAATGGGAGGTGGGATCACCCTTCCTGAAGGAGTTTGCAGTTAAATTGGATCAAATACAACTTGAACGTGCATCCTCAGCAGCCTTTCTTTTTTTCTTCCTGCTTATCCATTTTGGATTTGGATTTTCCAGCAAACTTAGTGTAGTGTAGTGCTGCAGTAAATGTTTTGCCAGTGCTATGTTGATTCCCCTGCCTTGGAGATTTTGATATGAAGGGATTCTAAATTAACTTTTTAAACATGGTTTCTGGTTAATAAACACACATTTTCACACGCATAACATGCACGTGTTTCTAATTAGGCATAACATAGCCACGTGTGTAAAAATTCATATCCAGTTGTGTGTTTTTTAAAGTTTATCTTAACATGAGCTCTTCATTAAATCAAACAAGTTCCTTCTAGCCAGGTCCACATGAGCTGCTGATCATCTTCGTCATGGGGAGCTATTTTCCAATGGATAGCTGGCTTCTAAAATTGGGAAAAGGTTTGATTAATGGAATGGATCATGAAATGTTTATAATCTGTACTGTTTTGCAGATGTTGCCATTGGAGCGCCTAAGGAGGATAACTACAGAGGAGCAGTGTACATTTACCATGGGGATGCCAATGGTATTGTACCTCAGTACTCTATGGTATGTGACATTATTATTTGTGATATCTATCTGAAATCACTTTCCCAAGGCTTGCAGAAATAAACCATATTTAGGGGTCCCTTTATAAGTAGCCTCATCATAGCTCTACATCTTTTACTCAGTCCTAGTTTGAAGATGGCTTCTCCCAAAGTTTGTCCATATCTATGCTGTAGGGTAAAATTATGTTAGTCAGAAGATATTTTTCACTGTCTTTTGTTACGTTTAGCAGCTGTAGCTTCCTTCTTTAAGCAAACAAAAACTTGGGGTTTGATGTCAGTTTATAGAGACAGTACTAGCACATAAGAGAAATGAAAACCATGGAGAGGCTGAGTGCACAAACTATGGAGAGACCGGTGGGGAGCTGGGAGGTTGCACTTCCTTCCTGCAGAAGCAGACGTGGTGAGAAGTAAGAGGTACTAAGTTTTCTTTGTGCCCTGCAGAAACTTCTTTACCCATCTTGTCCCTCTCTTAGTGATGTGACAATACATCACAAGGCTGTTGGCGGGTGCCATTTCACTGACCATTATTGAGTAAAATCTCAGCTAGAATACATTGTATAGCATCTTGTGCAGAGATGACACAGTACGATTTAGCTACTGCAGCCAAGCAGTACAGAACATAAATTTACGCTCATGCTGCACAACATGTGTCCCCTAGGCTCTGTCTAGCACATTTCTTTATTTTTGGAGGGCCTGAATCTTCCCTCCTTCTGTGTGTTTGAAGTTCTGGTTGTTTTGTTTTGTTGCTGGGTGGGATCCTTCACAATAAATCAGTTCAAGCAGAATTTAGAAGTTTAGTGGTTGTATTGGAGACTCTTCTAATAGACCATAGAGGTTTAGTCCTTCTTCCTTTTACCATGTATACGCCATGTGCTGCTTTCTCTAAAAAAGAAGGGAAGTTAAATGACTCTTTATGGATACTTCTAAAACACACTGATGTGTGGCATATGGTGGATTCTACCCGTTTCTTGCAGAGACCCCCCGGTTGGGAGGTTCTTCTCTGATGCTGAAAAATCTGGAGTTTTCCAGCTTTCCTGAAAAGGATCAGATTTTCTGATTTTTTTTTTTCTTTTGCTCATTCATGGGAAAATGTTACATATTTTAATGAGGACAGATCAGCAGGGTGGGAAGCAAAACATCCTGCTTGTGATCTCTCTTTCCCCACTGGAGCAAGGCCAGCAGGCATGGCTCTGTGTGCCTCTCCACTTGGTCAGTGGGATAAAGCCCAGCTCAAGAGGGTGGTCATTGACCCTTGGCAGCATTCCTATCACTGTCCCATGCCATAAGGCATCTGAGAGAGCACCACTTTATGGGCAGGCTCTGCTGCAGGGCACTACGCACACCACACCACTGGTTCATCTCCCACATGCAACCAAAAGAGCTGTGTAACAGCTTCAGCTCTTTACCTGCCTGCCCTGGATTTGAACCCAAAGAAAGACTTTTTGTATCTTAATACTATGCCCCTGAGCCATCTTAACGCCCTGGATTTCCCTTTTTAAATAAGCTGAGAAAGATAGACAAGAGCCTGCTGGGTCTATCTTTTCACCATTTTCAATTTGTTAGTGTTTCACCCTTACTTTTCTTCATTAAGTTGCTCATTCAGTGTAGTTCCCTCACTTCCCTTTAGCAGCTTTAGTGGTGGCTATGAGCAGAAGCAGCTTAATTGGCTTTGTGGCCTGCTGTTTTTCATTCATGGCACTTAAAGCAGAGCAGCATTATACCTCTTCCTTCTAGGTCATAATAGCCAGCAGATGTCCACTGGGATGCATGCAGGCGTGATTTACCACCCTAACTGGGAGCCCCCCTGCAAGATGTGATGCAAGTATAGTGCAAGGGAGGAAGTTACTTCCAGTGGTCTTAATCTTGTCTGCCCATGAGTAGGAAAAGGAGATCTTAAATGGTGGGGCACTGATTTCCCTTTAAACTGTCTGTCAGGACTGCGGGATAGCTTCTTTCCCTCAACTTGTCTTTTTTCCATGAATTTCCTGTCTGACCTTTTGTCCAGCATTATGCCCTTTATGGGAGGGCCAGGAAAAGCTGGTGGCATGTCGCAAACTGTGAAGCACCACCAGCAGCCTCAGAATTACTTCATGGGCTAGGTTTCCTCTGTCTGTAACTTCTGTAGTCAGATGTTGATTCAAGTTCAGGTCTTGCACTGGTGACCCGGCATAATGAATGGGAGCTGGAAGGCATCTGATTGCCTTCTTGGCAAACGAGATTTTGATATGTTCATTTGCTTCAGACAAAGACATTGAGAATTCAAAACATTTAGAGAAAGTTTTTGTGTTAGTAATTAAAATAAAAAGGAAGCTATGTTCAAAGTTAATTAAGCTTTGCGTCGGGGAGGCAGAAATGAGATACAGCTTCCAAACTGACACAAAATATTGCATAATAGCTGATGGAAACCAGAGTTTCCAAGTGAGATGAAAATTAATCATTTTGACTTCGAGTACTCTGGCAAACTTTGTGAAAAGGAATGGTTGTGCAGCATTTTCTGCTTCAATTAATTATTAATTTTGTTTAGATGCCACTTAAAATTTGCACTTACAGAAATTAAGGATATGAGGAAAAAAAGCAAAACACGTGAATTCCATCTCCTCCCCCCAAACAAATTTGATGTGCTTTTTATTTTGCTTGGGTTGCAATGCAGGTGTGTTTTTTAATCCAAGTAAACGCTGGCCTCCTCCTAGCCCAGAGCAGAAGGGCTTCCTGCAGTTGACAGCCTTCCTGCTTAGGGCTGCGTGGGTGAAGTGTGCAGATGTGCAGCACTTCCAGCACACAGGAAAGACTTCCAGTGACCATGAAAATCAGGCTTGAGGGTTTTTTTTAGGGTTTGGATGTATTTATTTATTTTTAGAGGATTCTTTGTGTTACTGATGAATGCCACTCATATGTTTTCTGCTGCAGAAGCTGTCCGGGCAAACAATAAACCCCATGCTGAGGATGTTCGGCCAGTCCATATCAGGGGGAGTGGATATGGATAGCAATGGTTATCCAGGTATGTCTGCTACTGGGGAAATGCAGCAACAGGCTGAGCAAACAGTGGAGCTGGTCATTTCCAGGTTGCTGGCTCCTGCTGTAGCAGGAGGCTGATGAAGCTGAGCTTTTTCCTCCCTTTGCCTTCTGTTATTTGAAGCTCCTGATGAGAATTTGAGCCGATCACTTAATTTATGTGTTTGGGCAGTCATGATGCTAAAGCAGAAGATTCTTGTTAATCTGAGCTCACTGGTGATTGCCTTGCAAGAACTGCGCTCCCAATTTGTAGCTTCTGTGATGTGTTGAGGTTTAGATTGGATGTAAGGAGGAAGTTCTTTACTGTAAGGGTGGTGAGGCACTGTAATGGGTTGCTCAAGGGAGTTGTGAATTCTCCATCCCTGGCGGTGTTCAAGACCAGGTTGGACAGAGCCTTGGGTGTTATGGTTAGTGTGAGGTGTCCCTGCCCATGGCAGGGGGGATGGAACTAGATGGTCTTAAGGTCCCTTCCAACCCTAACTAGTCTACGACTCTATGAAATCTGGACATTAAGAAACGGCTTTTTGCTAAGAGGGTGGTTAGTCACTGGAACAGACACCCCAGGAAAATGGTCACAGCACTAAGCCTGTCATGAGGCTCTTTTAATCATATGTTTAGTTTAGTTTTAGGTAGACCTGTGAGAATCAGGGAGCTGGACTCAATGACCCTTAATGGGTCTCTTCCAACTTGAGGTATTCTATGATTCTATGATTTCAGTATCTCTCTAAGGCTGTAAGTTTCTTGCAAGCTGCTCAGTCATGATGACAATCTTAAAACTAAAACAAACAGAAAGAAATGGAGAATAGTAATAATAATAAAAATCAAGCAATGAAGTAGAAGAGAAGTAATGTCACAGGCCTAATCCTCCAGTTATAATGCTTGTGACATAATGATGTTCGAGGGGACCAACTGGCTGATTTGAGTCAGGAAAATGCTTTTGTTTAGATATGTAAGTTCTGTGATTTAGCAACTGATTTGAGAGAACTGAATCCTATGCCTCCTTTGTAACTGTTTTCAATGTTACAAAAATTTCAGATATGACTGTTGGAGCCTTCTTGTCAGACAACGTGGTACTTCTGAGGTGAGATGAACGTCTTTTTCATCTGCTGTTGTCTTCGTCTGTTTTCTGCTTATATCATACGCGGTCAAAGTCCTCCACCACTCCAATTTTCTGCCTGGTTTACTGTGTTCAGAAGAAGGAAGCTGGATTAGTTTTTAAGCAGAACCTCAGACATGGATAACGTCAGAGAATTTATACAGCTTAGTGAGAGATAATACGGAGGACAACCAGGGCTATGAAGAAAACAAAGGGTTAGAGCTGGAAGAAGATGTGTTGCATCTTAGTGCCTCCTTAGAAAGGTTGCTTTGAATGTGAGAGAAGGCTTTTTTATTGTTCTTACATTTACATAAAGTAAATAAATTATGATTTAAGGGAGCACAGTTAAGCAACAAGCCAGCTGTGTCAGATGCCAGGATGTAATTTTGCGAGTTATAATGGGAGTCAGAATGAAATAGGAGTCCTCAGGGAAATGAAATACAAAGTCATTTTCAATGCACACAGGAGTTTGGCTGCTGTTTCAAGTGTATGAGTTAAGTGCAATTGCTTGCTCCATCTGATGGAGAGAGGTGTGGCAGCTCGGTTCACCAAATTATGCAGGGGGAGAGTTAAAGTAGGAGTGGGCTTCAGATGCACAGACCTGGGGAAGGGAATGAGAAGTTTGAATTTTGCCAGTAGCTCCATTGTTACACTTGTTAATATTTAATAGCAAAATCCTGTCAATACCTAGATGTCATTAGAAGTCAAAGTCACTAGGGTCTCCTGCATCTTAATGGGATGTGATGAGACTGCCAAGACAAATGCTAGAGCTGCGGAATGGCCGTGCCAGTCTGCTTCCTTCAAGACAGGAAAAACTTGACTCTGTTTCCATTGGAATTAGTTAAACAAAAGAAAAGAAAATAGGAGAGAGGGGGAGAAATGATCTTGATGGTCAAGTCTTCTGAAGAGCTTTCTGCTACTTTATCATGCACGTGTGCCTTCCTCAGATGGGATCTTGCAGACCCCATCCCTGAAACCCCTAGCAAGAAAACTGTTCTTCTCCTGCCTTGTTACTTGCAGGAGGGGAAGGCTACCTGAAACGCTTGCTGTGATGCTTAAAACCACATGGATTGCAGCAGCATGGTGACCTCTGTCTGTGTGTTCATATTTGTGCATTTCAGAGGGAATTGGTACATTACGGATGGACTGTGGGTAGCCTGATTAATCACTGCTACTGCTAATTTGCAGTGTGTCCCTCTTTCTGTTCAGATAAAGAAGAGTAGGATAAAGAAATCGGCTTTTTCTCTTTTTCCCTCCTCATCCTTCTAGAAGCCTTCATGAAGTCCTTTTGCCAAAACAAACAGACGTTTTGCCAAGTGACATTAAAGGCTTTGGTGGAAGCCGTGGTGACTTGGGGCAGATTGTCGTCGTAGTGCTCGCGTGTTTCTATGGCCATTTGACAGAAGCACTGCTTTCTTCCCCAGTGAATAACCAAGTGAGCTAACATTAAGGAAAAATCACACAGTGCATCATGGCTGGAGGAGTATTTTTTTCCTAGGAGAAATGTTTTTCTAGCTCAGTTCATAGCATTTACTCTTTGTCTCCCCAAGCATTTGGAAAGTGGTTTATTTTTTTTCCAAAGGTGTGAAATGATCCTAGGAAGCTCACTCTTCCCTCCTCCCCGTTACTGTATATATTTCTAGGGTTAGCATTTATCTTCATCCTCCATCTCAGAATATGAACTTACACTGTTATTGCAGGCTGTGGTAAAAGAGTCTGAGCAGCCGCCTCAGAGATGGATGTAAATCTTATTCCAGTCAGTATGAATTAGGTGTAACCTCAATCCCTGCTCTCTTCTCCCCCCTCTCCCCTGCCTCTAAAGTAAGTGGCTTATGGAGTGAGAGTCCTGAAGTGGTTTACTCGTGCGGTCTGGCCTTGCATGGCTGCTGGGACTACTTTAGAAGTGAATCTGCTGGTTGCTGCACATTTTTTTTTCACTACTGCAGTTAGTTTTGGAAGAACATGTTCACGTTGAACATGTACAGAATTAAAACCATGAAGAAAAACACTCAGTGAATTTTTGGGATGAAGCCCTGCTCTGGGGATGCTCAGGCAAGCCTGGGATTCTGTCCTGCTTTTCCCAACCAATCTGGCAGGGCTTCTGTGTTGAGTGAGAGAGGAGACCCACTTAGGCTCTGATGGCACTCGGCTTGCTCTGCAAGGTCACCTTCAGCTGGGAGTAGTCATAGCAATAGCCTGGTGCCAGAGTTGCAAGGGCAGAAAGGTTTCATTCACAGTGCACTGGGTAACTCCTGAAACACAGGTCAGAGGCTTCAAGAGAGGATTCAGTCCTTACCACTCACTTGAAGGGAATAAGCTGAACGTTCCCTCCTCCAGAAAACATGAATATGGTGTCTCTTGTCCCTCTTACATTCAGAAAAATTATGTATGAATTATGTATCTCCTATCCCTGTGCTTGCTCTTTGACTTTCAGGTAACAAATTTGATTGTAAGCCATTCTCTGGAAAACTAAGGTCTCCATTTACCTGTTCCTGACCATCCAGGCTGCTTAGCAAGCAGTCTCACTTGCATGATCTTGTCCTTGACTGCTGTTGTGCTGCTAATTTTGTTATTTGTAATGATTACTATTATACATTATCAATTTCTCCAGCTGCCTGCCTGCAGTCTGCATCTGAGTCCTGAACCTCAAGCTGACATTACAGTTTTCACTCAGACACTAGCAGTCTTTGCCAGCTAGGACAAGTACTAATTTATATTACAGTTCAAACACACTCTGTTCTTCGTGTCTGCCTCAAATTGTGCAGTTTATCAAATTTATGTGAATTTCTTTTGGCTGAAAACTTCCATCTGAATGACGGCTCAATCCCACTTCTCTTTGATCACCAGATCCAGGCCTGTCATTACCATGGATATCTCCATTTTCCTGCCCGTGTCCATCAATATCACAGCTCCTCAGTGCCATGATGGCTTGCAGCCAGTGAACTGCCTCAATGTCACGACGTGCTTCCGCTTCAGTGGCAAGCGTGTTCCTGGAGAAATAGGTAAGGTTCCTGTGCCAGCGCTGGGAGGGGCATGCTAGCAGGTTGACCTGACTCCCTTTGTAGTCAGGAACAGAGCTTTGATGGGAAATAAGTCGTTTCGGGGTGAGCTGGACTATACAATTCCAGAAAGTTGGAGGGTCCCTGTTTTGGGCATGTTCTTACATGATGTAAGAATGTTCATCATGTTCAGCATGATGAGGCTGACATAATAATGGGGCAGTTTCTTCCTCAGTGAGAGGAAGGAAATGTGTCCTTGGGCTTACTGCAAGGATGAAAAACCAGAAGCAGAAGCAAACAATGCTTTTTAAGTTCATATTCCCTGTTTACCTGTTTACCTCTCGATAACACATTTCTGTATTCATATCCTCTATCAACATTATCAGAAAGCAGGTGTGATTTGCTCTGGATTAGTAGCTTTTAAAAGTCTACAACAAGCTCTTGAAGCAGAGCACTATAAATCTGAATTCCTACCAGACATGAGCTTTTACATGTATCGGTATACCTGTCTGTAAAATTGTTATGAATAGCCCAGTATTTTACTGACACCAAGAATATCTGCCAGGTTGGTTAGTCTCTTTAAAACACATAGGGTTTCTTAGGTGAACGAAACTGTGTAAGGTGTGGCTGCATTAAAATATTACTTATGTCTTTTACACGCCAGTGTTTACAATTCTTAGATAATGTGTGAAGTGGCATGGGATAGAGTGTTTGTAAATATTGTAAGGTCTGGGTTTATTTAGTTCAGCCACGATGTTTTATCTTTGCCATGCCTTGGGAATGGCATCCTCTTATATTCTCTTATAGACCTTGCTTTTATAGTTGCACTGGCAATTAGCAGTTTAGTCTTCTATCTACTAACACTCATATTAATAGAAAAACTCTCCTCAAATACGGTCGATGCACAGGAAGTTTAGCTAATCTGAACAGTCCTTCCAGCCATTGTCCTCATTCTGCTTACCCTGCCATCCCTGCAAATCCTATGCATAACAGATGAAATTGATGAGCCTGACTTAACCCTAAAAGCAGTTGGATCCCCAGCCTTTCTGAGCTGCTGATCAAGAAAGGTGAGAGTTTCATATATGAATCCCGGTATGCAGAGCCTGCTGCAGTGTTTGGATTTTAAATGAGTTGGAGAAGAAAAAGGCTTCTTGTTACTTCTCGCCATTCACATAGAGTGAGAACTACAAGCTGCTTCTGAAGTTGCTCTCTGCAGCTTGTCACTTTTTCACCTGAACAGCTTAAGGAAGTGGAGTTACTAAATTTAAGATTCTTCTGGATTCTAACATAGCGGTGCATTTGAGACTTCAGTTTCTATTTTTGCACGTTTTCCCTCCCTGTAAATGATGACTCTCAGCAGAAAATACATGCTTTGATAAAGTGTTTTTGTACTGCCTGTTACTCTGCCAGTTATCTCTGAGTGCTCCTTGGGTGCTAATTCCTGTCTGGAAATCACTGAATTGATTTTCTGGATATCTAGGTTTTCTTATGATCCTGGGGATACTGTTCAAAATATTTCCTTTGCTTTAATTTTGTTTCTCTGGACCTGCGGCTAAGAAGTGAGCTGCCTTTTTTTCCAATCTAAATATCTGCTCCCCGTGTTTGTGTAAGGCCTCTCTCCCTCTTCTTCATGACTTGCAAGAGCCAGTTGAATTCCCCTGTGTTGTCATACAAAGTGTACCCCTGCTGATTTGTTGTGGTGAAATACACATGTGCATCTTCTTCAGCAAGTAACATCCATCTCATTATAAGGAATTTTTTTACTATGAAGTAAATTATTATAAAACTTCCAACCATTGTCCTTTAGTACAATGCTTCTAGCAAAGTGATTTGTCTTGAAAACTTTGCAGCCAGAATTATCTGACTGTATAAAACCACTTGGGGATATGATTTGGATAAAATACTTCAAGTAAGCTTTCAGTTTGCAATCCAACAGTCAGGCTATTTTGATTATGTTGCAGTTGAAGAGTATCAGTTAACAAAGGGTGGAACAATTCATGGAAATATTGCAGTGGTTCCTCTCCTGTGGGTTAAATGTGGGAAAAAAATAGAATATCCTTATGAATAAATCACTGTCCAGGTTGGACTGTGAAAGACATATGGAGCTGTTAAAATACTATGTCAAAGTGTTGGGATTGTCTCATCTTTGGATGACTGGGGTCAGCCTGATAAGTTAGAGGGTGAGAACACAGTTGCCATCAGGAATGCTGCTTCCTTAAGGCTTGTCAGTGTAGATGCTCAGGGCAGCTGCTTGCTGTCTGGGCGTTGCTCTTGCTTCTGGGCAGCTGAAGTTGGTCACCTACTACATAATGTTTAGAAAGCCAAGCTGAACAAGCAGGCAGAATTCTTCTGTGCAAATATGTGTCTTCAGTGCTCATTTGAACATGTAGTTGTTTTGTTAATGCGCATGTGAAAGAAAGTGTTCATTTAGCACTGCCTCACACTTGCATAGAAACTTTTCCCATGCAATGTAGTTGCTATACTGCGTTGTTCAGTGTATGGAGTAGATATCTGAGGGTCTGTATTTATTGATACTGCTTGATAGTGCCAATGGAAGTATAATTCCCATCCATTTTCTGCGTACTGTTTGCAGACTATGGTCTTCAGAGGTATGGATTTATGCTGGAATGTTTTTGTTTGAACAAAGAGACATGCCCAAGTGAAGCATGTGTGCTGTGCTGCGTGCCAGGCATTGTCTGACCCGTCACTGTGCCTTGCCTCTTGCTGGGAGAGCTGAGCCTCTCGTTGTATTCCCACCAACATGACAGCCTCTGGTACATCTGGATGTGTGAGAAACATTTTAAGTTTTCACTCTTTCACCCTGGAATCTAGCTCAGGCTCTTTTCCCTCACTTGAATGGTCTTTGCCTTGTCTCCCCGGGGTCTCTGTATATGCAAGAAAGGCAGGAGATGAGAGAAAGGCATTTCCTAGCCTGGGTGAGCAGCTTCAGCCTGTTCAGGCTGTGCACTTCTGGGTGAAGCAGACAGAGGCTGTTGACATCTCTGTACATCACGCGCTGATTCTGTGTTCATCCTTGCATAAGAATGGAAGTAAACTTGTGCCCACAGTCTGGATCATTTCTTTTACAATAATGACAACAACGATAATAGTGCCAGTGTGAGAATTAGGTGAATTTTAGTAGCTATGAAAATGAAGGGGTTTGGGCATTTGGCTAGAGTTAGGCAGATGCATTAAAACGGCTTCAAAGTTTCTCCTATACTCTTCACTTCCTATACTCTACTGTTCACATTCAAAGACATGCATTGCTTGTGTGTTGATCCATTTCTGGGGTAGTTCTCATGTCTCAAATACTGTTGCCTGAAAAACTGGTGTGAGAGTTAGTGTGGGATAATAAGTTGGTTGATATTTGCACTCTGAATATGTTTCTAGGATTGAAGAAACATGCTTGATCTAAAACCTGATGAAAGTGGACACTCCTCTTCTTACCTGGATCCTGCTGTAGTTTGGTGCATGAGGAGTATTTCTGTCTGTGTCTCATATTCCCAGTCTGCTTGGATGCAGGCCTGTGTCAGAGCTACCCTCTGAATACCTCAGAAGCATGGATGCTGTAGAGATGTGGTTTTCGGTGTATGGAGCAGCAAGGATGGCTCCCAACTTAGAAGCTAGGGACAACACTTTGAGAGAGGATTCGAAACAAGGTTTGAAACAAGTAAGGGGAAAAGGAAAGCTGCTTGGAAGAGGATGTGGGGAATGTCTTCGATATGTTGTCATTTGCTAGCGCAATTTTTGATAATACTTTCATTACTTAAGAATTTTCTCTGCAAGCAAAGTTCATGAATTATTTCCTCCTCATAATTACTGGTAGAGACAGTAAAGAAAGAAAGACATTCCTTTTCCAATGGTGTTTAGTTATTATTTAGTAAGTTCTTCATTCTCTCCATGTGGCGCCTCCACTTCCCTCCTCCCCCATGAATCAGAACTGTAGCTAGTAGTTTAAGAAGCACTTCTGGATGGGCTTATTCCTGCTGAGCATTTTGTTGCCTGCTTTTTCTGTGCTGTAGCATCATCTGAGTGGGCGATGAAGAGATGTGCCGTCTGGCTCAGGGTGTGTAACCCTTCCATTAACATAGCCAGCTGTGATTCCCATTTTAGCTCATGGGATACTGATGCCCATTTTTAATCGCTCCTCACTCCTTTCTGCTTCAAGGCTGCCTTCATAGAATGGTTTGGTCAGAAGGGATCTATCTTAAAGCTCATCTAGTTCCAACCCCCTGCCATGGGCAGGGACACCTTCCACAAGACTCTCACAGGGAAGAATTTCTTCCTAAAGTCTAATCTCAGTCTCCCCTCTGTCAGTTTAAAGCCATTCCTCCTTGTCCTGTCACTACAGGCCTTGTAAAAAGTCCTCTCCAGATTTCTTGTAGCCCCTTTAGGTATTGGAAGACTGTTATAAGGTCTCTCTGGAGCCTTCTCTACTCCAGACTTCTCCCTTCAGCCTGTGATGGGAGGAGTCTTGCATTGTGAGTAAGTATGTGCTACTTGGGGTGAAAATCCATTATGAAATGTCTGCTGCCAGTTACTTGGTGCATCTGTTACTGGTTGCAGTAACTCTCCTGGTCTGCTGGCTTGTGGTCCTCTTGTAGATAAGACCAAAAGTTTCTCCGAGGGAGCTGCTATCAAAGCTTATAGGCATTTTATTCAGTTGTGGTTGTTATCAGAAGAATCAAGACCTTCCTCTGAGCTCATGCCAGAGTTTACATTGATTGTGTGAAGTTTAGGCAGGCAGATGCCCAGAAACATTTCTAATCAGACTGGTTTAAAGCTGCTGGACAAATATTTGAAGACATTAGCTGGAAGAGTTAATTTACTTGCCTCCCAGTCTTTTGCTGGATCAAGCAGGAGGAACTTACACCACCAGCAGTGCAAAGTTTGGTGAATGATCTCCCCTCTGGTTGCCTTTTGGAAAGAAGGTTAAAAGAAAAAATCCTTACTCATGGTATTTCAGTTTTTCCAGCGATGTGACATCCCTGGATATAACATAGAAACAAGTTGTCAAAATAAACAGGAGGCGGGGGAGAGGATGGGAACTGCGCTGCTTGATTGAAAACATCACTGCTGTTTCGGAGAGGTGGTAGCTGGGGTGGCTTTGCTCAGACGACTGCTACGGGCCTCACACTGGGATGCATCTCCCTCCCTACCACAAGGAATTGTTCAGTGTCAGTAATACATCGTCCTGCGAAAAGGGCTGTGTCTTCCCATGGGGCTTTTGCCTCTGCCTGTGCAGGGCCTGGGTTTGCTAATGGGTTTTCTTGTCTTATTCTCGGGGTGCTGGTGCAGATCTCAGCATGTGTGCGTGTATGTGAGGTCTTGAAAGCGGATGGGAGACAATTGGGGATGGGTGTGGGATGTGCACACATTATAAAAGGAACAGAAAAAAGACTGATGTGGTTTTAAATAGGCTAACTCCTGTGTTTCTGTATAGGTGGTGCTCTTTAGTGGGCCTGAGGAAACACCACTTCAGTGGGAGTTTTGGTGCTGAGCTTGGTAGAGTTTGAAGCATTTTCAAAGTATTATCCTTCTAAGCAAGTTATTCTGCCAACAGCAAGCAAAAAAAGTTCAGGTGGAGCCCTGTGGTGGTAGTTAGGCTGATTCTTCAGCTGTGTCTTTTCTTGCTACCAAGGGTATGTCTGTGGTGGTTGTGTGTGAACTTGAGTTTTTCATCAGGATGCAGCGTGCTGCAAGTGGAAGCGAGGTCATTTTGGATTATGTGAATTATGAATGGTTACAGAGACTTCTACACCAAGGTTTACAACATCATTAAATAAGTTCTTCAAAGTACTGAAAGTTTGGTGCAGAAACGATTGGAGGCGACAGTATTGACAGCAGTGTCAAGTTAGAGAGATTAGGATTTAAATTGGTTAAGAAAAACCAACCCCAAACCCACCACCACCAAACCAAGTAAAACCACACCAAAACCCAGCGCAGGCTCCTTGCTGAAATCTGTTATAGGACACCTCAGTCCAGGAATGTTTAACATTTGCATTGGCTGTTTATAACATTCTGTCTTAAAAAAAGAAGTTTACATTTATGGGCAGCATATGATATGGTATCAATCATTTAGGACTTAAAATGTAAACAAGAGCCAAAGCCATAAGTTGGCAAACATCCTACATAGTTAGCAAATCAGCACAGGAGCTGGTGCTGGCTGTCCTTTAGGAGGATTAGCATCTAATTAAGCCATTTAGAGTGAGCCAATCTCATGGTATTCCCATTATTGCCTTGATAACAGCTGAAATCAGTATAAGCTGTGGTTTGTGATGAGTGAAAGGACCTCGCTTGTGTCTCCCTTGTCAGTAGAAAGCAGCAGAACATTCAGGCTTCTGTTCAGTTTCATCGCTCCTTCTGTTGTTGCATTTGCCAAAAAGAAAGGTATACTCAGCTTGGATTAATCAGTTGCTGTGTAATTACTTCAGGTAACAAGTAGGTTTCCTTTTGGACACATACATCTAGTTGCAAACCAACCGCTTGTGTTAAGCTACTTATCCTATAGAACAGCAGGAAACAAGATTTACAGAGATACAGCTCATTAGTCTCTGAGTATGTCTTCTATAAACTGCTTGGGATGTGTAACATCTAGGAGGGGGATGCTGATTGTAAGGCAGCAACCTCTACTTAAAGTGTGAATGTTAAGATGACTGCAAATCAACAAAAGTAATTGTCAGAAAGTGCCACATCCTGGTTGATGTTTGCTTGGTTTGTGCTGTTTTAGAAGGAAAAAAAAGCTTGAGGCTGCTGCTGTTGTTGTTTGTATTGTGTTTTTTTGTTTTTTTCTGTTAACAACATAGTTTAAGTATCTTTTGTTTCTTTACTTTTATTAAGTATGGATGCCTAGATTTATTTTTACACATAATTTCCGATGGGAAAGGATGGGCTGGGGACCACAGCAACACAAAACTTGGAAGTACATTAGTAATTGGATTTGGTTTTGTGCAGTCACAGGAAACTTAGTGATTGAGGGCCTTCAAGGGTTGACCTTTCTTGAAGCACACATGCCCTGGGGGCAACAGGATCCATTCATAGGTGGCTAGAAAATAACTATTGTTCACTGACATCCTCTGTTTTATTCTTCCTTTTTAAACCAGGTTTGAATTATAACTTGACTGCTGATGTGGCAAAGAAGGAAAAGAGCCAGCAACCCAGAGTTTATTTTGTGACTTCTGGAGAGACGATGGGGCAGATCACAGAGAAGTTAGAGCTGACATACATGCAGGAAAAGTGCGAGCATTACCTGGCATATGTCAAGGTCAGTTCATTCCTGTCCTTACTTACGATGTCCTCGCTGCAATTCCACTCTTTTCTAAGTATTCAACCAAATAAAGTAGTGCTGTTTGGCTTTGGATGTTCTTTGTTTTCGTGACAGGTGGATTAAGTTTTTTGTGTGGAAGCTCAGAACTTTGTACTTGGCATGATTTGTCAGCCCTGAGCACCACTGGGCCTTCAAGACCTGGTGTCAGAATATGTATTTTATTTACTTTTGATCAGATGCAATTGTGGGGATTTCTTTCTTTTGTCTTGGTTTGTTGCTACACTTGTTAGAATAAGGAGATGAAGTTTTGTCTTGGCAGGAGCAGCGGGTTTGCTGTTTAGTTTTGTGCAAGGCCTGACTGCACAAGGAGCTGGTGCGCAATCTGTGTGGGAGTGGCAGGGTAACACGGGGTCTGTCTTGAAGCAGCTGGGCTCTTGGATTTGAAGAGAACCCTGGATTTTATCTAAGCTTAAAATAGCAGTGGGATAACTCAATTTAACATGTTTTATGGTCCTGGGGATGCAGGAGCACTTTCCAGACAAGCTGGGACATAGAAAGGGTCTGGGGTCTTCTTCATCTGGGGTCTCCTAGGACAACAGTTACCTTGATTTAGAAACTGTTGTTGAAGAAATGTCCCCCAGGTGCCAATCTGTTTGCAAAGTAAGCACAATAGTTTTCTTCTCAGTTAGGAAACTTATAGAATGGATTTTAAAATTATATAGGAAGGAGTTTTATCTTTTCAACAACATCTGTATTACAAGCACTAATCTGTATCACCAGTGTAGCTTGAAGTTTGGATATGGGGTGAGTTGCATATCCTCCTTTCATATTCCCATAGATGAGAGTGACCTAAATTCAATGGATATTACTTGGCACTCTCTTGTTTTGAGAATCCAGTGGGTCCAGACATCCCTAAATGTATAAACTTTTCCAGGAAGCTTCTTTGTACCTAAAAACTGTGAGAATGGGAGATAAAATTCATCCTTTGACTTTATCAACATTTTGTCCGTGGCTGTTGAGAGAAAATAAAATAAATAAAGGGACCACCAAGGAGGAAATCCTGTTCTGTTAAGCTGTGTGGATCTCTGGGAAGAGACTAGGTATCTTCCATGGGTTTTCTTGTTTCTGGAACAACCTTTGCTTTCTGTTGTGGAAAAGCTTGTTAAAGAAAATGTAGGTTTATGAGATGACCATTACTTAGAAAATATGGCTGTGAGTTTATTAATTCTGGTCTTTCTCAAATGAGCACATCTGGTTAGGCTTTAATGTATTGATTCTGGACCAAAAGGAGCCATATGCCTCTTCATTCTTAACAAACAAGGCTACTGGCATTCTATATGATATAAGCAGCTATTCTTCACAGTTGGAAGAATAGCAGGAAGTGTTTTTTTGTTCATGTAATGGAGAATGCAAAGTAGTGGAGAAAGATAATCCCTGTGCTTTCATGGGAAAGGTGATATGATCCATGAGTCTACGTGACATTAGAAACATCAAAGAGAGCCTTGCGGACTCTGGAGGAGTGGAAACAGGGTCATGATCTTTCACTGCTATCCTTAAGGAACAGCTAGTAAAACAAAACCCCTGAAAAACAAAAAAACACCCCCCAAACTCCAAGCAGAAATCTCCTTGATTGCATAGGTTTGTGACAGAATGGGTGATAAAATATGTGGGCTTAAAAATATATGGAGTATTTCACTAGGACTTTCCTCTTTCCTTTTATTTAGTGTATGCCTGATGAATTCTTCTCCATGACAGATGGAGGTGTTTGCAGTTTCATCCCTAATCTGTTCACTCTATTATTGTTCATTTGAATCCCTGGTGACAAATAGATTTATATGGTAACATAAGGATGTCGGTTCTGGACTACTGGTGATCAAGGCTAGAGAAACTGTTTGAACTTTGTGACTTCATATGCTAACTTGACAAAGCCTACTAGGCAAACAAGCTGTCCAGTCCAAATGGCACTCAACAGAGCTCTATAGGTTGTGTTAAGTTAAATGAAAGCCTGTGCCAGGCCTTGCTGGATGATGGTCCTACCAACATGTAGTTGTAGCATGCTGGAGCCATGAGGCAGAAGAACTGAGTAAAGCTGTGAAAAAAAACTAGACCTAAAGATCATCTAGTTCCAATGCCCATGCTATGGGCAGGGACACCTTCCACTAGGCCAGGCTGGATGGGGCTTTGGGGAACCTGGTCTAGTGGAAGGTGTCCCTGCCCATGGCAGGGGTTGGAACTGGATGAGTTTTAATGTCCCTTCCAACCCAAACCAGTTTGATTCTATATTTCTTTTGGCAGATTTGATCTCGAAAGACCCCAGTGAAACAGTGCACTAAACAGTTAAAAGTCTGCAAGTAAACTGCAAGTAAAACATTGAATTGTTTTGCAATTGATAAATGTCAATGTTTCGAGCACTGCTACTTTCCTGTATGTGGTTCCCTCTCAGGACAGGAGCAGTTCTTATTGCTGCTGCTGAATTTGAGTATTGAAGTCTGTCTTTCCTCATCACAGTGTGTCTGAGATAAGTGGATATCAAAGCTTGTGGGATATGTGTAGCTCAGAACTTGATTTTATAGAAGGCAGACTACCGAATTACAGCTCAAGTTGCTAGAATTATGGTAGTTCATAAGAAGACATGCTTTTCTGGTTCAGAACACAGAGTGAAATGGCAGTGCTTCGGGACTTAGAAGTGCTTTGAATTTGGCTTTGTAGTGGGCATGGGGAAGTGGAGGAGAGATGCATTTTCTGACTTTTTTTTCCCCTTTTCCTTCATTGGAACCTGTTTGATGATTTCTGTTTAAGCAACTTTAATTCTTTAGTGTACATGGGCTGTAATTCCAATACTCGCAGCACCTCAGGTGTCATCTCCAAAAGCTGCATTTGTTCTGTGTTAAACAACTTGTGGAGGTTTGTCTGATACATTCAGTAGAAAATGAACAGCTGGTGCAAGTGGCTATTAACTGAGAAGTCGAGGAGCATCACTGGTGCTCTCCTGTCAGCACATAGCCGATCCCTGCTCTCTCTCAGGAGGTGCTTTGCTGCTGGACAGTTCCTCCTCTGGCAGCCTAGGGGTGGTGATGCTCTCCCTACAGACTTTATCTTCTTCAAGGGTGATAAAGCTACTAAGAGCAAATAAACTCAAGTAAATGCTAACTGTCAGTGTTGCTGGAGAAAAATGAAGCAAAAGCTGAAATTTCATTAGCTTTTTTCTTTAAAGGGATTAGTTTTTTTGTAGAAGGAGCAGCAAACAAGTGTGAGAAAATGGAATGTGGTACTAAGAAGAAGCAGAGGTTGCAGAAGTAGAAACTGAAAAGATGAAGAAAATAAATGGGTTTGGAGGCTTTACAAGCATCTCCTTAATCTTAATATCTCTGCCTGAAGCTGAAATGTGGAGTTTTCTCTTGGGACCTGTACTCTTCTGATGGTATTCGGAAGACTTGAGCCATGTGTTTAAGACCTGCTGTGATCAGGGCATGGACTCTGAGGAAGCATTTCCCCTTTGGAGTAGCTGCCCTGGTTGTTCCCTGCTTATGTGGGCTCCCCTAATATTTGGGATACATTTATTTGTGTAGGATACATTTATTTGTGTAGGATACATTTATTTGTGCACAGGACAAGGGGGTTTGATGCAGACAGCAAAGCATATTGCGTGCACAGATTTATGTGGGGTTAAATCTCATCTTCCTGGATTTATCACAAAGGTGTAATGGTGATTATGATTAAAGCCTATTGTATGACTCCTGCATTTGCTAAAGAAGAACTGTCTGGTTTCTTACTTTACTGTGGGCCATCCAGCTGGGCTGGCTGTTGCTACCAGTCACTGCTAGACACTGTGCAGAATGAACATTGTAATAGCTTCAAACACTATCAGCAGTCCTGGCACAGGATTAAACTAAACACAGCATTTATTTTTTCCAGAGATCTTTGTCTTGGTGACTGTCTGGTTGTTTTAAGCAGTCTCATGTTGCTTATCGTAGTAACTCTCAATGGATCTGGCTGTAGCTCCTGGGGAGGATAGGGCTGAGAAGCAGCAGTGAAATGGTGATTCCAAAGCTTTTTCACAATGGTGTGTAGGTGAGGAGCTTAGGCTGTGCTTTTACAGGCAGGCTTGGACTAAAATGCTGCCTTTTCAACAGAAATTGCACGACAATGTTTTATTCACCACTGAATTATGCAGCCAAGATTTGCCTTTTCATAAGTATATTTCTAGCCATTGTCTGCTGTGCATCACTGTTACCTCAGGTCTCTAAAGACACTCTGGGCTGATGATCTCGCACAACTTCATCTCTAGTGTTCACCAGTTTTAGTCTCACTGCCTGTGGTTGTGATTGTTTCTCCCATAATAACTGTTTGATCCCACCTGAGGGGATGCATGTACTGAAGTCTTTGATTCTTAATTCATAGTAATCTATTGGTTTTTTTTTCTAGAGTCTCGGTAGCAGAGTTTTCATTCTCACAGTCATGTGTGATGTAGGGTTGGTGTCACCTTGATCATTTGCAAGATGTACTTTCTTCTGAAAGCTGACTACCTGTGAATTAACATCTGTATGTTAATGTTTGGTTGGTGGTGTTCCAGGATAGAGGAATGCAGCCAGAGACATTCAAGAGCTTATTTTTAAGGTTGGTTTTCATTCTTTTGTTTTTAATTGGATTGGTTTCTCCCGTAACTGTTGACATGAAGCCTTTTAGAGGGGGTGGTTTTCAGCAGAGCTTGGTTGCACACTCTTAGCAAGGCCTTTCCTGAGACACTGGTGCCATGAGCAATAGGTTGTGCATTGCATGTGGACAATAATCACCACTTTGCAGAGGAAGAAGGGAAAACCAGTCCCTTGGCAAGTGTGGCTTCCCTCTGCAGTGCCCCAGTTGGTCCTCTCCCTGGGAGGGAACTCAGAGCAAGTAAGGGGATACCACTTGAAGCAGAGGCTGCTTTCACAGCAGCAACAGCTATGAAAACTTAGTCATGATTATCTAGGATTTCACAGTGTTTGGCCCACTGAGCA